TGCATTTTTGAAGCTTGTTTTCACGCTCTGTCCCTGGCCACACGGGCGGGAGCAACACGCAGCTTTTCTCAAGTCGTCATAGCAAGTTTAAATAAAAATAAATGTATCAAATCTTTTCCAGAAGAGCGTAAACTATTTTTGGGTGTAGCCAATTACACAGTAGGCCTACACGTTTTATTTTAAACATAGGTCAACCTTACTGGACCACTTAATAATTTGTTACTTAGGAAAGGAATTTAGTTGGACTAAAAAATGTAAAGAGGCATTTATGTAGTAGAAAATTCAACGATTCGATGAAAATCTTCTTATAAATTGATTTTAAATATGTCATAAATAGATTTATTTTTTATACTAAATTAAAATAATTAGGTAAATGAAAGGTTAACAAAATAAAATAATTTAAGTGTTGTTTTCGTATCGAAATTAATATACCATTCATATTTCTTGGTGACTAGTGAGAAACAAGATTACTATTTCGGCCATAAGGAAGATATAGAACATAATAACATGAATTCGTCATTCAACTGCGGGTTCCCACTGCATTTTGCCGTTCCTGGACTTCAACCGGCGTGAGAATAAGCTACATTTTACTGCGTGAAAAAACACGCGTGTGGCATACAACAGCGGGAATTCAAGTAATAATTTCATGTGCGATGGGTGTGGAATCACCCCCGGAGATATTTTTGAACAAAATAGGCCTTCAGTAATTGTAAACATGCATTTTGGGGCAATCTGAAGGCAAATCCTAGAGTAAAATTCCAACCTAGGCATACCTCAGTTAGGCCTACTTCTTAGTTTTTTATTTTTTTTTTTCAAATAAATTACCCCGATTGGGGGGATTGCGGCCCTCACAGACCCCTAGATCAGTTTCAAGCTGCATACGTTACGATGGGTAAAAATATTTTATGTAAAGTGTTGCTTCTAAGCCTCTCATTTTGGTTGAAGTTGATGTCTGATTCGAGAGAGATTCAAGAGATTTATTATACCATTCAGTAATAAATACAATACGTAACGTCAAAACTATGCTAAAAATAAATCAAACCAATTTATATAAATAAATGAAATGTTCATTACAAACCATGCTGAAATTGTTTAATCTCACACAGCAAACAAAGCAGCAAACCATGCATTTATGGCAAATAAAGCAACAGAAAACGAAATTGTGCCACATACCTGAGTAGGCCTACATAAATAAAATTATAAATCAAAACAATGGCCAGCATTCAGAGCATCATAAAATTCAACAGATTCATAAAAAGGATTCGTTTCGAGCCAATCTTTTACAATTTTGGTAAATTTGGACTTACGCAATGACCAAACACTTTCCGGGAGAGCATTGTAAACCTTAATGCCTGTTTTTGCCCCATAAATGCCAGTTCCCATGGTCCAATCATGCTGGTTTGTGAATTTATTTCAAGTTTATCCCGACCTACATCTTCAACCCAAATTTCATGAAAATCGGACCAAAATTACTCGAGTTATCACGTTCACCCACATAACCCCACACCCACATAATACAGGTTATATATATATAACAAATTTGAAGGAATTGTGTTTTTAGCCACTGGGACATCAAAATGCAAAAGTAAATTGGTCCCGGGCCTAGGTCTTCAATCTCTGGTCTTACTGTGTCACCTACGGTTATAGCTACGTCCCTATAGAGAAATTCGCTAAATTTAGTAAATTGTTTGGTAATATATTAATGAACATCTCACAACAACATAGTAATTTAGTGTCCTGGGCTGATAGCTAAACTAATTCCTTGATTGGAATATCTTCTAAATATTTTGACAAGTAGTAGGACTCGTACACAATTTTGCACTTTTGCAAGTCCTTCAATAACCTACTCAATGTAGTATCACGAAATTGAATGTCAATAACTCACTAGACTCACAATCAATTTTGCCATTCATTCTGACAAAATGGTGAAATAATTGAGCCGTTATTCACTTTGATTGTTTCATTATCACTCTAGGTTATCACAATTGGGTATCATTTCATTTTTTGGATAATATCTTTTAGTCAGACCATGATATATTATCTCTGAACCGTTTGAAGGGTCCCAAGCTAAAGTTGTGGCCTACATTTTAAGCCAAAAAGATTTTCTCTGTACATTTATGCACTTAGTAAAAACAAGAATTTTGTCAAAGAACACTTTAATATTTATATGCAATTTCAGCATGACTGGCATTAGCTATTTACTTCTTCTTATAATTTTGCACAACATGTTGTTGGTAATAAAATGAAAACATAAATTCTGACATACAACACTGTTATATTTACGTGCAATTTCTGCATGACTGGCATTGTTCACGTAAGTGTTAAAATTTTGTATGACAAATTTATGTTTTTATTTTAGTAGGTACATACCAACAAGAATCAAGAGCTTTATTGTCACTGACCTTTTTAAAAGGAATAGATATAGTCAACAGAAATAAAAACTAAAACGAGAAAAATAGTGGGTTCTAAAAATTAAAAACCAATGTTAACATTAGACATTAAATAACTGTTATATTATAATATGGATTGTTGATGAGCCACTCAAATATTTTGGACTTAAACCTATTGTAACCAGTTTTAATGCCAAGCCTATTAAAAAAAAACCCGAATGCAAATTTATTTTATGGCAGTTATCTGTTTTGGCCAAAGTATTGGTTGGGCAGGGATACCTAGATTGGATTTGCCTCTTGTATTGTAAGAATGTATAGGCCTACTCTCTCTATAAGTGAATTGATGAAGATTAGCAAGTTGACAGCTATCCACAGGACGAGCCGCGGGTACAAATTTACCAATCTAGATTAGGACTATTAGGTAGTTTGTGTTGTTAATAATTGATGGAAAGTCATACATACAAATTAAGAATGAACTGAGAACTGTGGGATAGTTGATAATGTATAAACGATTGTTGAGTAAAACAGCCCTGGTATGGTAAAATATTAAGAATATAATTTCATTTCACTGAGAGCATAAAACAGGTGCAAAGATATCAATTTTCAACTAATTTTGTTAAAGTATAAACACAGACAAATTATTATTTTTTTTTGTTACAATTTTCACTTTTTACAGAAAATCTGTTTATACCATAGACAAAGATTGTTTTCTGTAGTATTTAAAAGGTATGTACTTAATTATAAATGTTTAATCAAATGCCAAGGATGCTACATTAATTTTTTACTGATAATTATACTTTTAATATTCAATTCCAACTTAGCAAGCAGATTTTTTAAAATTCTTAACATGTGTGAATAATTACTATATCATAGCAATAAGCTGAGTTTAGTAGCTAAACAAATCCTGACAAAAAAATTGATTTAATGAGTAGGCCATTGTGACTAACATTTTTTCAATATAATGGCACAAGACATTTTTTTTACTGCCTCTTATGCGATTGTTGTCATCGTAACAACTTGCATTGTTATATTTTTTCCCACTGATGATTGTGAAAAGATAAGTGTTGTTGATATTTTCTAACCATACTCCATTTGATAAGAGGCCAATGCTCCAATGCGTACATACAGGTAAAGGTTATGTGTGATTTTGAAATTTACCATGAAAATTGCATATGCTGATTCAATAACTTAATTCATTTTCAAATTACGATCAATTAAATGTGTTAAACTGATTACTATTGAAGGTGTTGATAAATTAACCTCTATAGAAAAAATGAGTTTTCTTTATTTTACCCAAGGAATTTTGCTATGATTATAAAACTAATTGGATTTGAAATAGTTATTTGTGTAACTAGTGGTGAAAGTGGCACTTTGCTGCACACGAGAGCAATGTTTACGCACGAGCCGCAGGCGAGTGCGGAATGATCTCGAGTGCAGCAAAGGCCTTTTTCACTCGTGTTACACATTATATTTTTCCTACAGTCACTATAAAACATAAATAATTAGTCTTTCAAACACTATACAACACGTTTTTAGGTTCAGCTAGCAACACAATTACACAAATGGTGCCCTGGAGAAAGTAGTACCCGTGGTCCGTATCACTCCGCTATTTTTCCTCGGCAAGAAATGTGCTCCGTCTTTTGAGAATATAGTTCAGTATGTTTTTGTAATTTGAAGTGGTTTCCGCGCCTAAAAAAAATGCTTTAAAGGTATTTTCTTGTTTATTAAGACCGTAGGAATGTTTTAAAAACGATTAAAAGAAAAGTCCAGAAAGTTCAGAAATACCAAAACTATAAACACGAAATGACAGGTTAAATCGTAGTTATAATAGTCAATCAGCTGTTCATAGTATTATTATCTTTAAGTGTTGCCAACCTATTTCCAAGCGTACACGGATTACGTGCATAATAAAACCACGCTGTTTTGTGTTGTTTGGTTGGAATCCTGATGTGCGGCAAAGTATAAACCGTGCGGCAAAGTATAAACCGTACGGCAAAGTATAAATATGCAGCAATTAGCAGCTTTCTGTACTATAAACAGTACAGGGAAGCCAACTTTGTCGGGTGACTGTAGGAAAAAGAACATTTTTCTAAAACACAGCTGATTCTACTATATCATCAGCTGTGAGTGTCATTGTAATTGGTTTGATCACTAAGGCTTCCCAATCAGCAATGGATTGATATGAAATGTCAGCATGACATGTGTTAGTTTCTCTGATTGTGTATCACAGATGCTTTGTTCAATTTCAAGTGTTCTTTCTCTATGTTCTGTATAGTATTTTTTAAACTCTGTGTTTTGTGTAGTAAATTTGAGTAAATTAATTAAGTAATCATTGTAATTTTTTGTTTTTGCTAAGATTACTGGATGTTAGAATTTTACTAACAAAAACTAAATTTGTTACATGAATGACAATTCCAAAAATTGTTTTAAAATGACTTTTGTAAAATAATTTTTGAATTTAATTTCTAAACAGTTATATTGTTATAATCAACAGCATAAGCTGCAGCAAATATTTGTTCCACATAAGTTCAATAAATTAAATACATGTTCCCTAGTTAATTTTGGAGAAAAATATTTATCAGTGAGGAAGGTACCATCGGATTGGTTGTGTGAATTTATTATCTAGTTTATTTAAAATATTTTCAATTTTATCAGTGTTTGGATTCACATTCCAGCCTTACTTTGTTCAAGATGATTTCAAAATATTTATAATACAAAGTAAGTGTACTCATATATTACCTATACTATGACTATATAGAAGTTATTTTACCCACATAGGTCTGAACCAAGGGACCGTAAGATGTTCCATGTTTTAAGAGACAACGCTAATAACTCTACATGGTTCAAATCCGTCAGTATTGATGATAATTTTAGTGTGTAATTCATAGACAATTAACCTGTCTAACGTAGAAGCCCTAGTAGACAGTTTGAGTGTAAGTTTATAGGAAGGATTTTTCTGAGCTGCATATATAATTTTGTGGAATATTAATTTCACCCATCCTTTATTGGCGCGAGTGGGTATACTTACTGTTTTTTTGTGTTTGTTTGACAATTGATTGATATTTATAATTATATCTCTCATTTTAACTGAGCAAATTTACTATGTTTCAGTGTTGTAAAAATGGACAGCGCTCCATTGGTCAATGGTACTAAGGACGAGCCTTTGATTCGTCCCTGCAACCAACCAGCGTTCAATCAACACTGTGAATACGCAATCAAGAAACCACCAGGTAGGATTTTTTCTTTAACACATGCGAGAGTTGTTCATAAATTAAACTCTCCGACGAGCTTCCATCACAGCCATTGGAGCTATTTTGAATTGGAGACCAACGTCGTATTCTTACTTTATGTACTTTTCTATTTGGTTTTCACTCTTATGGGACTATTAAAAAACATTGAAATAGCCATAATATTTTGGGGGATTTGGAAATTATGAAATGGTTTATTAAATAGGACCAGGAAGGGTCTGAATGAAGGGAAGGAGTGCTAAAAGTGCCAGGTAGCTGCTGAAAAAATATTTACTATAGAAGAATTACCTTTTCAGTGTCTAATAGGATCTTCCAAAACTGTTTTCCTAGTTTAATCAAAATTGTTTAGGTATCAATGTCATGTGAGCATCTTAAGCTTTGATTAATCTTGTCGCTCTATGTGTGTGTTGGCACTCTCTCTCTCTCTCTCTCTCTCTCTCTCTCTCTCTCTCTCTCTCTCTCTCTCTCCTCTCTCTCTCTCTCTCTCTCTCTCTCTCTCTCTCACACACACACACACACTGTACACTGGTCTTACACCTAGGTCTTCCCTTTGGAGAGTTTGTTAAAAATTATTTTTGTTTTCAGGTTTAATATCGAATCTAAGAAGATCCAGCAACTTGACTATCTGGAGTTGTTTCACTTACATGTTTCCTGTGTTAAACTGGCTGCCAAAATACAATGTGAAAGAAGATTTTGTATCTGATGTTATTTCAGGATTTACTGTGGCTGTTATGCACATCCCGCAAGGTTTGTTTTGTACTTACTTGTAATGTAGAATTTATCTCGGACTACTGCACTCAAACAGTTTTTAGTCACCCAGTTATTAAGTCTTAGATAAAATCATCACTCAGACAACAAGATTATTCGGACTCTCGACACATGTGGTCACGTCAGAGTTTAAAATCGAACACATACAAAAAACGAACATTAAATACATGTAGGCCTACTATTAAAACACCGAACAGGATATAATATGATGCAAGCATCTCTCTTGCCGAGTCTCGACTCACAGCTGACCTACACTGTGTGGGATACAACTTCTAGTAATAAGAGGTTCAGTATTATAGATTGCAAAACGGTGAAATTCAACTTCAACTTCATCAAGATTAATATTAAAAAAATAAAGGTACTTTTACCATTTTGAGCTACCATGATATCAAGGTTTGAGTTATTGTGGTCCTACTGTTTAACTTATGTTACTTTTTGCAAGGTATGGTTATTGTAACATTTTTAATTGCCCTGAATACACACCTAACAGCCAGATTGCTTTAGATACCAAAATGGAACAAACTGATTAATTTGATCTTAAAACAGTGAAGGAGTACATAATAAGGCTTCACGAGTTGAACGTAATTTATATATTGAATTTATCATTATTTTTGGTGATGTGATGTTTTTGGTATTTCACACCCTCCCAGTCCCTAAGTGTAAGAGGTTATTAGGAGAGAATTGTAAATGCATTCTGAACAACATTTTTGCCTTAAATATAAATATATACCGTATATCAGTTAGATATTTTGTCAACAGTACAATTAAATAGTTTTCTATTGTGACTTTTTTCTAGGGATGGCCTATTCTAGCCTTGCTGGTGTACCGCCCATTGTGGGCCTGTACATGGCATTTTTCCCTGTCCTGGCTTACTTCTTTCTGGGATCGTCGCGGCATGTTTCCATGGGTAATTATTGATAATAATGTTTAGTGAAAATTAAATGCAGGAAGAACAAGCTGGTCTAGTGGTAGATCGCAAGACTTTGGTCCCTGAGATCCCAGGTTCAAATCCCCCCAATCACGTAATTTTAACTTAACATACTTTTATTCTATGTTGTGGTGACCAAGTCTCCAAGTGTGGCCGTAGCCTAAGTGAAAATGGCGTAAACCCTATAGATTTAGCTTGAAGTAATGTGCAAAATGGCACTGGGCTAGAGCCTAAATCCTAGGATGTGATGGTGGCACACAAAAAAGTCTTGTTTTCAATCTCTTTTGTAATGAGTAATATGGTTAATTTTGAACTACCTGAAAATAAAATTTTAAAGGTAGGCTACATACAGTATATAACACTATAATTATTAAAATAATAAAATGTAGTGTTATTTACCCCTAGGTTTGAAGAATTAAATGTAGGCCTAAATGAATTCAGTCAACAATAAGATAGCTTTAATAGGATAGCAGTGGAAGCTTGATGTTAATCAAAAATTGAAGTGGGCCTTGTAAAATAAAATAATTCCCAGAGATTGTTGGGGGACCTTGTTACTGTCTGACCTTCTTCCAACTCACACCCCTCATCACACTGAACCCAAACAACACACTACAAGTGCTGCACCCAAATGGTGTATCTTTTATAGCACGTTTCCCCCTTTTTTTTAAGGTGTTGCAAGTGTATCCCTTTGAGATACAAGCTTAAATGATTAGAAACAACCAAAATTTATTTGACCATCCAGCACCGCTACTTTAAATTATTTTAGACCGTGATTCATACAGAGACCTTCCCAAGGACGTCCTATCACATCGTGATGCGTCTCAGGCTTGTGGCGCACCCGTATTCTTTCCCTCCAATCATAGTTCTAGAAATCTCGTTTTGCCATTTGGCTCATCGTTCTATTTTGTATGTTTTTGCGTAGGGACATTTGCGATTGTATGTATGATGGCTGGTAAGCCAGTGATGAAGTACTCTACGTCACCTGATCACCCAGTAGCTACCGACTTATCAGAACAAAGCTACACACCATTGGAGGTGGCTACCATTGTTTGTTTGGTTGTAGGCATATGGCAGGTAAACTAACATGTTTTTACTATTAGGAATGTGTCATTAAATCAATTAATCCTCACAAATTTTACTACCGCATAGTTTTTTAGTCTGATATCTTTATTCATACAGTACCAAGTAAAAATTTGCAGTGTCAAAAATGGACTTGCAAACAATAAATTTAATATTACTTACATAATTAAATTCAATTCAAAGATACTTTATCAAAAAATATACAAGAGTATACATGAATGGCAGTCAGAACTATACATCATATATAATGACAAGAAAGAAAACTGATAAATATTTTTATATAAACCAATAATAATTTAAATTAACTTAAAAACTGAAAAATTCCTCAAAACTGTAAAGCACCTTGGTACCATCTCAGTTTCGGTCTACCAAGGGGTCTTCTTCCTTCTGGGTTGTTCTCCAGTACTTTATTTGGTAAAGAGTTGTCTTCTTTTCTGATCATATGTCCTGTCCACCTTATCCTTCTACTCCTTATCTAAGTGACAATATCTGAATCTTTAAATAATTCTCTCAGTTCCCAATTATGCTTTAATCTCCATTGTCCATCCTCAAAAGTCAAAAGTACAATTTTCTCAATATTTTGTTCAAAAACTATATCTTTTTTGTTTACTTAAAATCCAATTTTCTGATCCGTGTTTACCATTTACTACCAAATTTAACATTATCAACATTTAGTTCATTAAAAAGATTTACTCTTAGTAGTTAAAAATATACTCTAGTCTTATACTTTGTTTTGCCAGGTAGTACTCGGAATTTTTAGACTCGGATCATTGAGTGTGCTCATGTCCGATACGTTGGTCAGCGGGTTCACCACGGGAGCAGCTGTCTTGGTGTTTTGTTCCCAGATAAAGCACGTGTTTGGGATCAAGCTGCCCCGACGGTCCGGCCATCTGAAGCTTATTTATGTAAGTTAGTTTTGGTTCATTCCTAAAATTGTAGTTTTGTACACATGAATGAATTAAGGGCGCGCTTTACCCCTGACGCGCAATCGAATGCAAGGGTTTGCAAGATTTCTGTTTTCACCTGCTAAATTGAAGGTAGAATCAAAGTTAAGGTCTCATATTAAAAAGGATGAAATTTTCTATAGTTCTTTGTTTCTATATTTCAATTATTTAAAATACACACCTTATAAACTTGAGTTGTAGTACAAGAAAAAAGGGTCTTTTCAACTAGCCTTAACTTATTAAAAAAAACGTTTTTTGAACATTTGAAAAACGCAGAACTATAGATTGGTCTTTGTACTACTATAAGCCGTTTAGAGTGCGTAGCTATCATTATTTGTTAATTCTAAAACAGTAATCTTGGAAACGTCTGCAAGCGCTTCTCGCAGCGCTGTCCAATGATGAAACATAGCTACTGAAGCCCGAGCTGAGATTTCCGAGCTGAGGTTATATGTTTATTCCAACAAAATGATTGACAACAATGTACAAAACTAAATGTAGAAAACAAAAAACATGAATGCTAAATTAATTCAATAATAAATTCAATTAACCTTTTATAACATATATGTCAATAAATTGAACATAGTTTTATGGAATAAGCCGGCATGGGTAAGCCTGTGTGTTGACTGTAGTCGCACCAAAACAAAACCTTATTTGATAAAATAGAAAGAAGAAAAAATGGAGGTATGTGAAATATGAGCGAAATGGAATAACAAGAGCAAATGGTGAAATTGGTGAAATAATTAAACCATGATCAAAAATATTAGGTGCATAATGAATTTAAAAAAGTAAATACATTTCTGAGTAATCATTTGATAATTAATGTATTCTTAGGACAAGCAAGTTGGTTTGGAAGCACTAAAAAAGTCACTCTGAAAGTGTAAAATCTAATGAACGATAGATGAAGTGTAGCTATTGCACACCACATTTGAAACACCCTGATCTGGAGAAGAAGGTTATAAAGCTAAAAACAGCCCCCTTTGAAATAAGTAAGGAAATGAGCTGACCATAATCTTTTAAAAGTGGTCTTGGTTTGATAGTTTTATAACCACCAAATGGTTTCATAAAGTTAAGGAAATAAAGGTCAATTGAATTAATAATATGATGGCAACAATTGACGTGACAACAATCTGTTATTAAACATTTTTGAATATTCTTAACATTTGAAATTTATAAACAAAAAACGAACATATGTTTTTTATTTGCTATCACAGGTTCAATCAATTGAATTATATTAGATTACCTTTTTTGTTGTTGCCTGTGTTCTTAAATAGGTAAGGTGTTTGTGTCACTCAAACACAGGCGATGTTGTGGGTTCCGATCCTGGTACCTGCCACTAATTTTACCAGTACAGTTCACCCTTATACTGTAATGGCTCACCCCTTGCTTTGCTGGATACGTTCCATGCCTCTGTGGCTAATGTGGACGGGCAAATGCAAGGTAAAAGAGGCCATCAAGCTCTTTTTATAAATAAAAAAAAATTATATACAAGTATTAGATTGAAAAGGAATTGAGTGAAAAATGAAATTATCACCAGCACACCATATATTGTAACTTTCAGTAGAAATTTCTACAATATAGACTTTAAGGATCATCAAATTTAGTTTCCCAAAAATCAATAGATATTAAAAATGTTGGTTGAATAAAATAAAGTGGCATTTGAACTTTAGTTTCTGTTTATTTACAGTCTAGTCAACAAAACTTTAAAATAAACTGAGCAGTTTTATATCTATAGTACTTTTAAAGTGGTGAGTCGGCCAGTTGGTAGTGTCACGGACTTTGGGCCCAAGGCAGCGATCCCCAGGATGGGTTCGGATCCTGGTCACTGCCGAAAACATTTTATCAGAACAGTCCACCTTTGTACCGTACCGGCTCACCCCTTGCTTTGCTGGATACGTTCCACGCACAGATCTGTAGTATATGTGGACGGGCAAATGCAAGGTTAAAAGAGGTGTGCACCGCCAACCACAAAAAAAAAAATCAATACTGAGATTTTCAAATTCAATTTTAATGATATATTCCAAAATTTCTACACTATGATAAACATTGACTGTTCTGATTGCAAGATCTAAAATCAACACCTACCATAGCAATATAAGAAGGGAAGATTTCCTATCATTTTGCTCTTTGTTTTTCAGACATGCATGGACTTGTTCGAAAATATTGACAAAACTAACCCCTTAGCTGTCGTCATGACATTCAGTGTGATAGCGATGCTAATCACATACTTCCAATTCATAAAGGTAAGTGAATCTTCTTATCTTTAAGATCACAATGTATCATTAAAATACAAATACCACCATTATATCCATTCTTGAAAATTACTTTATCAAATCAAATCAAACCATACTCTCCTCATGAGTCATAAGTCATGTACAATGAATGGAATCAGGATGTAGGCCTACAGTACTACAACTATTACGAAAATGTAAAAATGTAATGAAAGTAAAGAAGAAAAACAATATTGTAAAAAAATATTTAACTCTATCTTTCAGTCACTATTTAAAAATAATGAACTCGTGTGAACATTTTAAAAAATGTATTCGTAAACGTTTCTTAAATGTAGGCCTATTAATCTTCATTTCTTTTGTACCTCAATCTAGATGGGGACGATGAAACTGCCCCGATATGGAGTTAAGTTGATTTGGAGGTAAGTTTTAAATGATGAAACTTCCCCGCTCATTAACAGAGCATCATGAAGGGTCACCTCGCCATACCAGAAATGCTGAAATTTCCCCGAGCGCCCGCGCCAGGTACACGCTACGGGTCTGGGGAAAAGTAAATCGTTGTTGTCCCTGCGTGCTGTCAGTGACTGCAGTCTTCTAATAACTACCACCAATATCAGAAATTTATAGCTTTTTAAAGGTTAGGTTGGGTTAGGTTAGGTTAGGTGAGGTTAGTTTAGGTTATGTTGGGTTAGGTATTGGTACAGAAACAATTGTGGCTTGGCAGGAAAAGCAGTCGACGGCAGTTAGAAGACTGCTGTCACTGACAGGACACAGGGACAAAAATAATTCCCTTTTATCCCCAGTCCTGTAGCGACTACCTGGCCGGGTGCTCGAGGCAATTTCAGCATTTATAGTCTTGCGAGGTGACCCTTGCTAATCCTTTTTAATGAGCGGGGCAGTTTCATCGTTTCAAAAGTACCCAAAACGTCGGGGCAGTTTCACTACGCCCATCTAGATTCAGTTTTCAACTGTGTCATTGATGTGAGATCTTTCATCTTATATTTTTGATTGACAAGTGATAAAAGATTATATAAATTAAAATTACAAAACTTTCAGCAATTTAGGTACGCTTAAATTTTGTGAAGTAATAACAGTTGCATTTAACTTTTTCCTAAAGGTAACAACAGACTAAAAAATATTTGTTTTTTTTTTTATTTGGTAGCTTAATGACAACAAGTAAAGTTAGCAGTATAACAAAATATATTGTTTAACACACAAGCCAAAAGTGTCTTTTCGACCCTTGCTCATTTTCTGTTCAAGTTAAACTTGTGTAGAAAAGAATCACCACAAGCCCTTGTAATAAAATATACTATTAACACTATAGTAATACCAGAAACAAAAGAACCCTGGGCCGTTTCGAGCCGCGCAGGTTTGAATGGTACGCCACACCTACCGGCGCGAACCACGTGATCTTTTCGTTTCTGCGCAGGTTGTTTTGTTCTTGGTATGTCTATAACATCAAATTGTTTTCTTACAGCCTAAACTTCATCCCTTTCTGAGAAATGTGGTGCCAATGGAGTTGATAGTGATCATGATAGGAACCTTCGTGTCATACTACTTCAACCTCCAAGACACTTACAATTTATCCACCATTGGACTGATTCCTACTGGGTAAATCTCAACCCTTCATTTTATATAAATAATATCCCCACTGCAGTAAACCTGCAGACTAACAGAATTTCAATTTGCTTTGTTGGATTTTTGATTAAATACTAGTTGTTTTGCCTGTGCTTCGTAGCAGGCCAAGAATACTTAAGAGTTTTGGGTCTCTAAATCTACTGTAAAAAAAGTTACACACATGTATTATGGATTATACAGGCAAATTTCTTTTGTAGGTACTTATTGCTTATTTCAATGGAAACAAGAGATTTTCATAGAGTTTTATCAATAGTGAGTCACGTAGTACACTATTTCAAATTGTATCAATCAAATAAAAAAATACCAACCCTGTCGCTGTAAAGTTATTTTATTTCATAGATGTCAAATTCTTATTGATGATTTGTCGTAATGTTATGCGTTTTGTTTTTCAGGTTACCAACGCCTGCAATGCCACCCGTCCGGTTAATCCTAGATGTGGGCATCGACGGGTTGGTGATTGCCATCGTTGCCTTTTCCATTAACATTTCGATGGCTACCTTATTTGCCAAGAAAGAACATTACAAAGTGGACGCCAACCAAGAATTGATTGCCTCTGTAAGATTATGAAGTTTTATATTTAACCTCTAATACAGCTGTTAAATTTTAGATGATTATTTTATCATAAACTTCTATTATATCATCCTTCACCTCAAATTAAAGTGAAATTTTGTTGCAGCTTACCCTCTATATCACTATGATTATTGCAATAGTATCGGTAAAATTTGTATCGCCACGTGATCCTGTCCTTGTAGTTAGACTACCATGATTTCAAAGGCTTTATGTCTTCATTGTCAAGTCTACGTGAAAATTAAGCGTCATTAATCCTCTTCAACCTAGACGGTATGTAGATCCGTCATACAAAACTCGTAACACAAAGACACAAAAACCTTCAAAACACTTAAAAGGTAGCGTGGTCACAATTAAAAAACAATGGGGACAACGCGTACGTGTAGCCGGCGTAAGTACAGTTATGACACTGGGTGACGTGTCCTGCGTTGTGACGCAGTTGCTCCCCTTCCACTGTTATCTATTTCAGCATAAACATTGTAATATATCATAGGAAGTGATAACAATCCAAATAAAAGAGCAGCTGATTAAAAAACAAGTCTAACAACGCTTGTGTTTAGCCGGCGGATGGTCATGACATTGGGTAACAACGCAGGACATGTTTACTTCCGTACTTACGCTGGCTACACGCAGGAGTTGTTCGACTTGTTTTTTAATTGTGGCCACGCTATCTTTTTTATATTTTCGTTTGTTTTTGTTGCGTGTTTTGTACGACTTATCTTCATAATGTCCAAGTTGAAGAGGATTAATGACACTTATTGTTCATGTAGATTTGACAATGAAGGCATAAAGTCTTTGAAACCATGGTAGTCTAACTACAAGAGCTGGATCACTCGGCAATATATAAATTAATATAACATACTATTGCACAATCTTTTGTTTTAGGTGAGTATTAGCAACCTCTGTTAAATTGAAAAGTTGTATTGCTTGGTTTTAGATCAGAGCATTATTTTAAGAATTATTGTTTATTTTGTAGACGATGCAATGATCCGCTCACTAAGTAATCTAATCTGTTGGCTGCTTTCTGATAGACATATAAGATGACAGTTTACAGTACTGCAGACTTTGAAATAAAAGGAAACTTATACCTTAATGGTTGTCTTTAAATTTAAAAAAAACAATCGGCGGCACAAGAAGTTTTTTGCCGGGTATGGAAACATTAGACAAACATTTTAGTTTTATATAATAATACAAAAAGGTATCAAAACCATGTATAATCAATAAAATTGTGCAAATCAGTAAAAACTCTTACTTAACATATTTATAAAAATATATAGCAAACAAAAACAACAACACCATAGGTTACACATGGAAGTACACTCTGGGAACCCATCGAACGAGCGGTGACTAAGGAGGAGGGCTCTACCTGTGATCACATTTCATCTGGTGTTTTGTGTTTACATTGATTATACAAAAGTGTCTAGTTTTACTATTTTTTTAACGTAATAATCATCATACAGTATGGATTAGACGTTCTTTATTTAACGAGTTTTAGAGAACGTAGTTTTAACCGGAAAATCTGTTATCGGGACTGTCCACGTTTCTGAGGAGTCCGGATAAGAAGGAGTCTACTGTACTTCAAACTAATAAACTAACTAGTTTTTAGTTCTAAAACACTAGTTCCAAAGGTTTTATTATTTTTCATTATCTTTTTTAATCCAGAATAGACTGATAATAAATTCTAAGCTCTGTGGTATTACAGGGAGTGGGTAACATCGTAGGATCATTCTTTTCGTGCCTTCCATTCGCTGCCTCGCTGTCTCGAAGTCTCATACAACATGGAGTCGGGGGCAAAACTCAGGTCGCCAGTTTAGTCTCCTGTGCTTGTATCGCCCTGGTTCTGATTTTCATTGGACCTTCCTTTGAGACACTTCCTCACGTAAGTCATTAAAAAAATATAAAACATCTTTAGCTCAATTTATGACTGTATTTGAAAACAGGGACATAAATTAATCCAATTTGAAAAACGACTCAAATGAGTCTTTCATATAGGTACAAATTCAATAGGTCGATCAATAATCTTACACATATGGGACCTACATACATGGGATTAACATAAATTTCAGACAACCAAGGGTATAATGCTAAATGCAGCACCATGATCAGAAGGAGATCACTATTTTATAAATATATTTAATACAGGGTGTTTTTAAAAGAATGCCAGGATTTTGAACGGCCGTTGCTTGGGGACTATTAGAGATAATTATACGATTCAAACGTTAAATTGAAGAGGAAAGATCAAAGTTTTTTGTCATACCTTAATATGTTTCAATGTGAGCTCCATTAGTTGCTCTGCAGACATCGAAGCGATATTCAATTTCTTGCCAGGTATTGTGTAGCATCTCTGGTGTCACAGTGGCGATCGCTTCCGAAATTCGTCCACGCAGATGCGCCAAATCACAAATTTTCTCAGCGTAAACAATGTTCTTTATGTAGCCCGACAAGAAAAAGTCCAAAGGGGTCAAATCGGGACTTCTTGGAGGCCAGGCAATAGGTGCCCCTTCCTATCCAACCATTTGTAAACTTGTTGTTAAGTGTATCGCACACTTCATTACGGTAATGAGGCGGGGCACCATCTTGCATAAAAATGACTCGTACACCAGCTCGTTCTTCAATATCGTCTATTTGAGGAAACAAAAAATGTTCTAGCATATCTAAATAAACAATGCCGTTGATTGTTTTTTCGGCAAAAAAGAAAGACCCTATCACTTGGTCATACATTAATCCACACCAAACGTTTACTTTTGGCGAATCGCGCACATGTTCTTGTACAATGTTAGGTTGTTTCAAACCCCGATTGCGACAATTATGACGATTAACAACGCCACTTATGTGAAATGAAGCTTCGTCTGAGAACAGCACTCTTTAATAAAATTTGGATTGTTATCGATCTCATTGAGCATAAAGCTAGCAAAGTCTGTACGCTTAGGGCGATCGGCTGGTTTTATGTGATGTCTCAATTGAATTTTGTAGGCACAAAGTCTCAATCTCTTACGAATTACGGTGTGTAGTGTCGATTTAGGCACGTTTAACTGTAGACTTCGTCGAGCAAGTGAGGTTTTTTGGGCTTCTAAAGCATGACTGTCGGATTGATTCAACTTTGTCATCACTTGTTTTTGGCCGGCCTGGTGAATGTCCTTTCAAAACACTTCCTGTCTCACGAAACTGGTTAAACCATCGACGAATTGCTTTATCGTCCGGTGACTTTTCCCCTGGATACTTTATTCGAAACTGACGCTGCACACTTACAATCGATTTAAACTCTGCGAACCACAGAACACACTGCGCCTTTTGTTGCGCCGTAAACATCGTACCGGCTACTGGCGGGAGGCGGGGCGTGTGAGTCGCAATAGCGGCCTACCACCACGCATATGGTTTGCGCATCAAGGTCAATGTTTCCTGCCTTGCTACATGGCACACAAAACTTGGTTATTTTAGCTTTATTTTGACGTATAAAACGTTTAGTTACCTTGAATAGTACCGGAGAAATATACACTTAAAATCCCGGCATTCTTTTAAAAACACCCTGTATAATGTAATTATGTTATGATATTTACAATATTTTAAAGGAATAGCCTATTATTAACATGTTTAGCTTGACCCTTAGTTAATTTAACTAAGGGTCAAGCTAAACATGTTTTTTTTTTTACATTAACAATTCATTATCAAGATGACTTTAATAAAGTCATCTTGATAATGAATTTTTAATGTCAAAATTGTAAATTGTTTTGTTTGGACTGTTGGTAGCAAATAAATAAATAAACACAAGTGTTTTTTGCTTCTTCTTTACTAAAGGTTCTATGACAACCCTTTCTGACTTTTTTTTACTTTACAATCATCGTCAATCGTGTTCATGTTATTAATCACCACGTTCTTCACTATCTTGTATAAGGATAGCACCAGCCGACACAGCATCAAAATGCTCCACTGTACAGTTAACATTTTTCTGCCTAGCAAGAGGTTCAATAACCAAGCTATATCTGAATTATGATCATTGAAAGCTTGTCGGATTACCAAATGTGTCAAACCGGCAAATTTCGGATCATTAAGATCGGATTGATTTCAGTTAGAGTTGACATTTCTTTTTACTTAAAGAATTTCCAATAGTAATATATCTATGAAAATGTGACCAATTAATAGCGATTTAAATGCTAGTACCTGAAATTGTGTCTTGTAGGCTATATTTTGTGTTATTGTTTATCCTATGATAACATTTTGACTACATCTTTCGCACCTCTTAGTGCTAAAATTAGTACAACTATTATGTATACAGTGTGATTGAAAAGTCCCGGAACGGTGTAATATATTTTATACTATTATAGATAAAAAGTAATAAAACTTAGTATATCAAAAATAAACATAAATGTCTACTCTTTCAAGCTATTATTACATTTTTACCTTCTAAGGGGTCCCACAAGGAGTAAGACAGAATTTTCAAATAGCAGCATAGGTCAACTTTGGTATCAAATTAAAGGTCTTATTTAGTAAAACACATTGGCGTAAACCCGAACTCAAACGGATAACCAAGTCAAAAATGGCAGCCGTTCAAATATTTCTTGAATCTGCCATTTTGAATCTTTGAACGGCTGCCGTTTTTTACCCAGTTGTTATTTTGAGCTAAAATTTGCGGCATTGTATTCTACTAATAAAGACCTTTATTGTGATGTGCATATCGACCTATTCTTACGTTTATGATTTTCCTCTGACTTCTAGTTGGCACCCCACAGTATAATAAGCGTTGCAAATTCAAGGAATGTTTGAGCAGCTGTCGTTTTTGACTCGATTGTCCGTTTGACTTCGGGTTTGTGGCATTGTGTTTTACTAACGTAGACCTTTAATCTGATACCAAACTCAACCTATGCTGCTATTTAAGAATTTTGTCTGACTCCTCATGGGCCCCCCTTAAGGGACAAAAAAGTAATAATAGCTTGAAAGAGTAGACATTTATAGCTATAATTCAATTACCAAGTTTCATTCCTTTATAGTAGTATGGGAAACTCCAGAGCCACTGGGGCGGAGCCCGAGAGTCCGATCAGAATAAAAACAACTTAGTTTTTCTATTTAATGCCTAAAGAATCGGTGTACCAAATTTCAGCCTCCTAGGTAAATGGGAAGTGGGAGAATTAGTGATGAGTGAGTGAGTGAGTGAGTGAGTGTGTCAGTGAGGGCTTTGCCTTTTATATATTTAGATAATATATATTACACAGTTCCGGGATTTTCAATCACACTGTATATTGCATGATATTGGTTGGCTGTTGATGGTCATTATCCTGTGAATGGTCCTGCATAGTTATCACCAAATTGAAATTCTAACTTAAAAAAATAAATGTAGGTCTATAGTCCAGGTGGTTGTAATCTCTATATCAAGGTTGTACGTTTGTTGCAGTGTGTTCTCGCAGGAATTATATTATTCGCACTGAAAGGTATGCTGAAGCAGGTGAAAGATTTCCCACCAGCGTGGCGACGTTCCCGAAGGGATGGAGCTATTTGGTTGATCACCTTCTTCGCCGTTATCTTGATTGATGTTGATGTTGGGCTGGTACTTGGAATCATCGTGTCTCTTGTTGTGATAATAATGATGAGCCAATCCCCCTATGTCAACAAGCTTGGCAAACTACCAAATACAGACTTGTTTCTTGAAAGTGATAGATATAATAAGGTAATTATTCATTTATTCATCCATAGATATTTACTGAATTAAGTAACCCAAACTTAGATTAAACAAAGTCAGTAACAAAACTCAAATTTGCATCTCGCTTTAAATACAACAACAAATAAGAGAACGTAAACTCACAGACATATGCCCAAAAATAAGTTCTACTGGTTGACAAATAACAACTGAGCCATAATCTCATTACTCTCATATACTCCCTGAAATATACTAACTGAGTTGTGATCTCACTACGATCATCCACTCTTAGGAAAGATACTTACTGCACCACTCTCATTTTTGGTATCTACTTCCAGAAATATACTAACTGAATCACACTCTCACTACAAGTATCCTTTCCACTCCTAGGGAAAGGAGCTAGGGTTGCGGTTCCCCCCATCAGCTTGCTGATGGTCCCCTTCCTCCTGGCTTTGATGGCGGGTCTTGGCCTGTCAGGGATTGGATAGGTCCCGAGTGTTGCTTGCACTAAATGCGTCAGGGCGCTCCATTGCGATTCTTCAGGGTTTCGTACCAGGTGGATTCTAGGCTAGAATCCACCTGGTACGAAATCTAGGTGGAGTGACGCTTAAACAAGTAGCCGGTATCCCTGGTTAGGATTGAGGGGAAACCCTCTCTCCGAGGGGTTGCTTCGGCAGCCGGTGAGCCTGATGACCTTAAGTCATCCTCCCATGATGTGCCAAAGGTTGGTACATTTGCTTCGGCCTACATCATGGGGCCCGGGTGTGTTTAATTATAGGTACCAACCGGGTTTGTAATCGGAGGGTTTCTGGCTCTTACGATAAAACGAATCGAATTGAATCGAATCGAATTGAAATTGTCCGTCGACTGTCTGCCAACTGTTGACAGTCAAATTTTGGTGTTTCTGGAGACAAAATACAGTGTTTTCTGTTTCCCGTTCGAATGGGAAACACGGAGACAAGAGACAAAACTTTTGTCTCAAGTCTGCATGTGTGGACGTGTCTGGAGACAAGAGACTGGATACAAGCCGAAGGTATTCAACAATCAGCCCATTTAGTTGGACTACAAAGCGGTAATATGACGATTTTTGGACGGTATCAAAAGAGAGATAATATATATTACACAGTTCCGGGATTTTCAATCACACTGTATCACTGCAATCTTACTGCACTGCACACTGTATATTGCATGATATTGGTTGGCTGTTGATGGTCATTATCCTGTGAATGGTCCTGCATAGTTATCACCAAATTGAAATTCTAACTTAAAAAAATAAATGTAGGTCTATGGTCCAGGTGGTAGGTCGGAGGTGGCCCACTCTCCGGCCTTGAGCGCTTAGACAGCTGCAGGTCCCTTAAGCTTCTAACAGTGACAGCACTCTACATCCATGGAGTTGTCCTGTATATAAAAAAACTGAACCTTCCCAGAAATGAGAGTTTTCACTCTTACCACACCAGAAGAGCAGCCGACTACAGCCTAACGATCCACCACACTACACAATACACCAGAAAACCCTCTTAAATTGGCCGTAAAATCATCAATTCTCTTCCAAACAACCTCAAGAAAGCAACACCAATTATGAATTATGAGAAATGAGAGTTTTCACTCTTACCACACCAGAAGAGCAGCCGACTACAGCCTAACGATCCACCACACTACACAATACACCAGAAAACCCTCTTAAATTGGCCGTAAAATCATCAATTCTCTTCCAAACAACCTCAAGAAAGCAACACCAATTATGATTTTTGACCAATTATGAACTTTCAATACAAAGAAAATGTAAACTGTCAAACAATCTAAATGTTAAACATTCACGATTTTCGTGACGCCATTGTATTTCTTAATGAAATTACAAATAAAGGAAACTGTCTATTGTCTATTGTCTATAGATACTAACTGAGCTACACACTCACTATGGATAAACATCATTAAGTTTCTTGAAAGTTTTGGAATTTCTCTTCAATAATTTATATTATGATATGACATTTTATTGAATTGTTCATCTCTTCAAGTTTAAAATTTTAGGACCAACAAAGCCCAGCAAAAGTTCAAAATCTTTAGAAATCAACCTAGTGAAGTTCCTAAATCCTTCACCTAATCTGAAGGTTCGATGGAAGATTGTGACCATAGTACGAACCTTGTTCGAGAAAATGTTTTCCAATGGGTCCATCATTGTCTATGTCTAGGTTCTTAGCCCCATGGTTCTGAAGCCCGCACAGGAGATAATTACGTCCTCCTCGGTTGCCATACCAAAAAAACACAGAAACACTGGCTAGCTAGTGTGGACGCAAAACACATCGGAAACTTGAATCCAAAACTGTGTTGACAGACTGTCGGCAGACAATCGGTCGACTGTCTGCCAACTGTGCGCAGACAGTCGGCTGACTCAGTCTCCATGTGTGGACGGCTTTACTACAGGTATCCACTCCACTCCCAGTAGAGGTACTAACTGAGCCACGCTCTCTATATGGGTATCCACTCCCAGGAGGGATACTAACAAATCACACTCCCACTTCAAGTATCCACTCCACTGCCAGGAGAAATCCAAGAAATTCCTGAAATAACCGTTGAAAAAAACTCAAAACTGCTTGTCCTGACAATTGATGAAGACCTCTCCTGGAACGACCACATACACAACCTGACCAAGAAACTTGCATCTGGGGTCTATGTAACAAAGATGATGAAATGGATAGGAGGTCTGGAAACGGCTAAGACAGCATAGTATGCTGTAATAGAATCACATGTAAGGTATGGCTTAATATCTTTGGGGGGGGGGGGCATCAGAGGCAAACCTCAACAAAGTCCTGGTGCTCCAGAAAAAAGCTGTCAGGGCCCACTCTCCGGCCTTGAGCGCTTAGACAGCTGCAGGTCCCTTAAGCTTCTAACAGTGACAGCACTCTACATCCATGGAGTTGTCCTGTATATAAAAAAACTGAACCTTCCCAGAAATGAGAGTTTTCACTCTTACCACACCAGAAGAGCAGCCGACTACAGCCTAACGATCCACCACACTACACAATACACCAGAAAACCCTCTTAAATTGGCCGTAAAATCATCAATTCTCTTCCAAACAACCTCAAGAAAGCAACACCAATTATGATTTTTGACCAATTATGAACTTTCAATACAAAGAAAATGTAAACTGTCAAACAATCTAAATGTTAAACATTCACGATTTTCGTGACGCCATTGTATTTCTTAATGAAATTACAAATAAAGGAAACTGTCTATTGTCTATTGTCTATAGATACTAACTGAGCTACACACTCACTATGGATAAACATTCCCTGCAAGGTAATCACTGCTTTAGAACTAACCTCTAACTAGATTGCATGTCTCGTAGTTTATTATATTCTAAACACCTTTGACCCTAACTGTTTTCAAAGAGCAAGTTTAAGCGAGAAACGGTATTAACGGAGAAAATACAAAAATTGTAAATTTAAAATTCCCATGTTATTCTTATGGTGAATATTGTAAAATGTTGTAGTTTGCTTGTTTATGGATATATTTTGATCAAACTTTGCACATTTATTTATTTTATACTAAGCTATTAATATTTTACTAAAAAATACACTTTATAAGTTTCCTTGTCTCAGCAAACCTAGGTACTCATTAAACCTAATGTCTTTTAAATATATTTAATTAAAAATTATTTCAGACAATTGAAAATTCGCTCAGTCGGCAGGTTTGCTGCGGCGGGGGTATTTTATTTTAGACTCATCGCTCCGTTATTATTTGGATGTAGGCCAGGCTATTAAGTTTGAATGAGGGTTCCCTACACTTTTACTTTCACCTGATAACATATTGATATTGTTTAGATACTAGTTAACATATGTGCAAATTACTTTAACAAAAAGGGATTTTCAGGTAATCCCAATTCCAAATACACTGATTATCCGAATTTGTGGCGGCCTTCACTTTGCTAACAAGTCAAATGTGAGGAGAAAAATTGACAAGATGCTGAAGAAAAGTATTGCCGCTACAGCACCTGAGAGTCCAGTGAGTATTTACTATTCAGTATAGAGCAGTAATAGAGAAGTTAGATAACAATTCACTAGTTTACCTATCCATCATTAAGGCCTTTATTTGTGAACTGTATCAATGAAGGGAAGGAGTAAGCGGGTACAATACAAAACATTATTTGAGGCAGCATCGGAATTCAAACTCCCCATATTCATTGGGTGCCTTGGCTGTGGAATGTTTAGTTATGGTAGACTGAGCCAAGGATAAGTGTAAAATCATTTTCCAAAAAAATTATATTAAACAGATCTAATAGGTTATTATTCTATGTGTGATCTCAACGTTGTTTTAATCTTGATGGTGTGTTTAACCTAAAGTTTGATTCGTTTATTCTAATGGACTGATTGGATCCCAAATCAAATTAAATTTAAATCCCATGCTTGGTGTTGTTCTTGACAAAGACCTCTCTTTTTCTGACCACGTCACTTTTGCAGTTCAACGTGCTAGAACAAAAGGTTTTAGCAGATTTAAAACTCCACTGCCAGAACATCCCAAAACGGATCTCGAGCGGTCCTTGGTCCTCCAAGCCAGTGTTTCCTGATATAAGGAGGATATGGCAATTCTGCCATAAGGTTCACTTATGGACCTAATCGCTTTGACCGGGTGTCCTTACGAGATGCCGCAAAGCGTATCCAAATTGGTGACAAATGCAGGAAGCTGACCTGCTGCCTAATCCACAAAGTACTCAAGTAGGAGGAGCCTTGGTACCTCAGCGAGAGAATTTAAAATACGGTACAGGGCTAATTAATAATGCTCTGAAATACTAACCAGGGTTTCTATCCGAAATCTGGGAATTATGTACGCACATTTTGGTGACCGGGAAAAAGTCTGTAAGTTATTGTACGTGAATTTTATCTGAAACCAGGAAATTTGGAATGATCACCAATAATTGTGCATTCATTAACAGTGTTTGTTGATCCTATTTTAAGGTTGTCTTGCACCCAATCAATGTAGCGTTTAAGAAATTACAGCCCCTCTATTCATGTAGCATACTTTAAAACTTGTATTTTTTCAGATTACAAAACTTGTCATCGATATGTCCTCTGTAACATTTATTGATCCAGCATCAACAATGGCCTTTTTAGCATTGAAGACAGATCTTCAACTAAAGAACATAACCCTCATTCTCGCAAGCTGCTCAAGTAAGTAAATTCATTAACATCACAGTTTACTTAATTTTAATTAATTTTTACAGTTTTCAAATGTTCTTAGTGAAGTTTACAATATACACGTACATATTCATATTCATATTCAAACATCTTTATTCATCATAAATCATGTACATTGGTGGTACAGTGAATAGTGTCAGAATACTTAAAATAAAAATACTATTTCTATGGATGTGAGGTGGAAAACTCCTAAAAAGAATATAATGCTAAATTGATTAAATAATCTTTTAGAATTTTCTTGAATTTAGATAAGTTTGTTTCTTTTTTGATCAATTCAGGGAAAAATTTTAGAAACTCGTTACCAGCGTATGAGGGTTTTTCCCAAAAAATTTTAATTTGTGAGGCTGGACAAACCCTCTTCTCCTCCTGAAATTATAAGAATGTACTGAATTTATTACTTGCTCAGATTCATTTTTTTTGGCAATAAGAATTGTTTCATAAATATATTGCCCATAAACTGTAAAAATTTGTAATTTCTTAAAATGTTCTTTTGCCAAATTATCTCGCTTAAGCTTAAACATAATTCTGATAGCCTCTTTTTGCCGCTTCAGAATGCTATCCATATTAAATTTTTTTGTTGACCCATATAATGCTAAACCGAATTAAAGATGAGCGTGGATGTGAGCAAAATATATACTTTTTACGGTTTTCAAATTACAATAAAAGGACCTATTTGACAATGCATAAATTCCGGAGTTAGTTTTGGTAAAAACTTTCTGTGTGTGTTTATTCCAATTCAAATTTTCATCTAGTGTTAAACCCAGAAAGTTGATCAGATTTTCCTTTTGAATGTTATTTGAGTTGTAAGTTATTGTTGGCTCTTTTGTAATTTTGTTCTGAGCTGTTCTGAAATTTATAAATTTTGTTTTTTGTGAATTTAATAATAAGTTATGATTGTATAAATAGTTTCCAATATTCTCTATTTCTACATATGTAAAATTTTCAGTTTCTTCTGGAGAGTTAGATGATTCAATAAAATTAGAATCATCAGCGTAAAGACATAATATAGAATTTTGCTTGTAGGTTAAATTATCTTCCATGCCCTTAAGGTAACACAAAAAAAGCAAAGGCCCCAAAATTTAACCTTGTGGGATCCCAAATTTAATTGGTTGATAAGTTGATGATGATTTGATGATTCTATTATGATTTGTCAAATGGTCAATTTCCACAAATTGAGATCTATTTGTAAAATAGGAAGAAAACCAGCTAAGAGCTCTTTTAGATATTCCAATTATTTTAAGTATTACATTTACCCATGCAGACTGGAAACTTGATTGTGTTCTCAAATAAACGTGTTGTTTCAGGTCACGTATATGAACAGCTGAGGAGGGCCGAATTCTTTCTTCAATATCCAGAGGAGACTATGTTCCCAACAGTGTCTGATGCTGTAAGTTCTTGAACAACGTGACTGGTGTTTTGTGTGTATTTAGTGAATTAGTGTGTGTTATGTTAATTATAACTTTACAGTAAAACCTCTGTAAACGTCACCTGCAGGACCACGGGTTGATAGAGGTTCAACTGAATAGGAGAGTCGTTTTTGCGTATAGCTCCGTATTTCGCATGTACACTGCAACAAGGTGGCTCACCATTTTCTCATCATTGGTGAACAGAATGGAACCATTTACAGCTCCGTAGCTGACGTGTACGCTTTGCTGTGGGTTTAGAAAGTTTTTTAAAATATTGAATCTCCCGCTACATGCGAGATTAAGTAAGTGATAAAGTTTTTTACCACAAGAAACATATCCGATGCCGACATTAATCGCCAGATATCTAAAAGTTATGGTCCTAATGCAATGAGTGAGAGTAAAGTTCAGAAATGGGTTAGGGAGTGTACCAATGGCTGTGAAAACCCTTTTCCTTTATGATCTTATGTGATAAGTCTGGGTACCCATCAAAAACACAATTCCTTCCAAAATGGACATTTTCCTAAACCCCTAACATCTTTCTGCACTTTACCACTCATTGCATTAGGGCTATAAACTTGGCGATGAATGTCTGCAACCAATATGTTGCTTGCAGTAAACAAAATATCACCAACCTTAACTGGCATGCAGCGGGAGATTCAATAATTTTAAAAATGTTCTAGACACACAGCAAAGTGGACACATCAGCTACAGAGATGCAAATGGCGCCATTCTGTTCACAAATAAAGTCAGTAAGCGGTGAGGAGCCTTGCTGCAGCATACATGTGAACTATACACACAACATACGGGGGCATACGGGGGTAGGGGGTTGTACCCTTGATTAAAAAACCACCTCGTACTATTTCTTGTTTCAATCAACCTTAATTCTGTACAACTGGCCAAACAAATCAGGTTTTAATTGGCAAAAAGCAATATCGCTATCCCATGCATGTTGGTTTTTATAGACTTGACTAACTTTGTAAAGGAAATTTTAAATTATACATAAAATAAATTTTTGCTAGTGATGTAGGGTTGTGGTTGTTTTAAACCAAGAACTGTATTTTACTTAACAGTATTTTAGTTTTTTAATGTACTTAATCTAAGACTGAGAACTAAGCATGAATATATAATATTTATATAAATGTATTTGTATGTATGTGTAAAAGAATCACACAAAGAAAACAGTTTTCTCTTGTTCGCTCAAAGATTTGGTATAACAAAATTTAAAAACAGATTTTTACCATATACGTATATCTTCTAGTTGGCATATTTTAAATAACTTAAATTTCAAATACCAAAACCAATTATTGTTGAGTGTATGTTTGACTCAACCACATAATACACAGTATCAACTGTTTAAATTATATTTTGCTCAAAATGTTATATAACTTTTGGGTGATTTTCGTGACCCAAAAAACCCTAAAATATAGTTACGCTTTGCATACAAGTATGTTTAAAAAATGTTTGTGGTTCTCAACACTTTACATCTGAAATATGAATTCTTACGGTGCTTAGTTAAGTAGATTGATAAATGTTTTTGATGATTTATTTTTGTTGATGTGTCATGTGCCTTATGATACCTTGATAGTGTATTCGTATTATTTTAAGTATCTGTGATTTCACATTTGCCTTAAGATGTAGTATAAAAATGTAACATAATTACGGTGCTGTTTACTTATTTGTTTATCTATTGTTAGTTTCCTCAGAGATTTTAATCAATGTTATATTGGTTTCAAAGAGTTTTTGTTTCAATAGTTAATCTCCTCTTTGAATAACTCATAGGGTACCACTCTATGTCTAAGTGAGTGTAGAATATGGAATGGGCATAAACTGAACCCATCAACTAGTCTTATTTAAGTGTTAAAGTGATTTTAACAGGTGTACTGAACTATTTATGTGTTTATCAGCTTAAAATAATTATAAAAGAATTCACATAACTTATGCTTCATAAAACTCTTGGCCTACAGTAGTGTGAGTGGATTGTCCATAAATGAACAAAAAGTAACATAACCATTTAGCCTTACACGGCAATTCAGTATACATTCTTGTGCACTTGTACAGTGTTTGTTTGAGTATGGTGTTAAATGAATGCTTGTTACAGACAAATTTGTGATAGTACAGAAAAGTAAGATACAGAGGAAACATGCATAGGATGACAGTGCGCTTTTAGCTCCTAGTATGTTGTGCCAAAAATATACTTGTTACGAGCACGGAATACCCTGCACTGTGTGAAAATTACTATTGCACAGGATGCAAGGTCTTCATCCACCATTAGTGTTGTAGTACATGAGGAATAGGGGTGGTGTTGGACTTAGCCCTAGACACCAGCGGCTAGTGCTAGACACCACTTAAGCGTACCATTTAATGTTTCCTCTGCACCTTACTACTCTGTGGCTGTTAAAACTAAATGTAAGAATAGTAGAAGACCTATGCTTTAAAATGATACATTAAAGTGACCTTCATATTTATCTCAGAGCAGGTTAAATGTATATAGGTTTATCAGTTGATACGGGTTCCTGTACTTGATGCCAATGTTATTCATACAATATATATATATAATTGTTCATCTTAAAACAAGGTACCTGAGAGCTTAAAATGAAAATATAATGTGTTTCAGCTATTACATTACCATGTATGATTACTATGTTGAGCTATAGGTAAACATTATATCCTTCCTGGACACTTGATAAAATGTTATAAAGATTCCAACAAAGTATTTGTATACTTTTACTATCTAAGAACAGGTTAAAGTTCTACGTGTGTTGTTCAACAGCTTTAAATAACAATAAGTGTTGATATAACTTAATCTTTTCATGAATCTACTTTAAGTACTTTAATTCAAGAAATTACATAAACACTGTAGGTTATACTCTGCACTAACGTATTTAATATGTTCTTGTAACGTAGTATAACATAAATATATTCTGTGATATTTGACATTACGTTACTATTTGTATTTATTAATTTGACAGATACATTCAAGGCAATAATTGTTATTCACCTAAATGTGTTAGATTTTTGTAGTAGTCTTTTTCTCCAAATGTATAAACATTTTCTGAATGTGTGTTTGTTCTTGGGCAAAAAAAAATGTAAAATTGTGATTTGATTATTTAGTATTTATTAGTTAGCTAACTAACCAAACATTGAAGAAATAAATCTAAAGTTAATAATTTATAAATAATATGAATATTAAATTACAAATGTTAAAAGAGAGAAGAGTTGTTGGATATTGATTGTTCATTTATTCAAATAAAAGTATTTATTTGTTGTTTGAACTTTGAACCTGATTTATTTTTAACCGTGCCCAAAAATTTTCATTTTAAATGGTGGTAGTTAGCAAAGGAGACAAAACGTTATTCCAAGATTTAGCCTTGAATAAATAGCGTAAAAATAATTATAAATTATAGATATTGAGTTTTATTCAATTAATTAATTTTTTAAGCCTTAGCAATTTTATACTTACATTTTGAACTGTTGGTACTGAATGCAATGTTTTCAAAGAGATACCAATCTGTGAAATTGTAAAACATAATAATTTTTCATTTACTCGGAGAACTGTCATAGTTATCTATCAAACAGTATTGGACGGTGGAAATATTGAGTCTAAAATAAACGTAGGTTTTTAAAAAGCTAATGGCTTATTTATATTTCAAAATTGTTGTTTGATGATTGGTCGTAGAAAAGGTTTTGCATATTATACTTTTACCTCAATTGTGAAAGAGGTTAAGTGAGTTATAATCATTGACTCACTGCTCCAAAAAAATATAAATTTGAGATTAATCTTCTGAATTGATCCTTAAAACTAATACTATCAAAATATGGCTGAAACTGACTTTAAAGCGCTCATTTTTATAAGTACATATTTCATTACATTCGTCAATGTTACGGTACGTCCAGAGTGCACGCAGATTCAGATTCAGATTTTCGGCGCGTGGTTAATCTGAGTCAGATATTTTGTTGGTGGCCACAGTGGAAGCAGAAAATACGCCACCGGTACTGATTCGGTTAGCAAAGAAGCAAGTCAGTCGTTATGAAATTGTCTGATGAGGAATAAAGGTGTAAAATTATAACGTCTGAAACTGTTGTGAAGTTACAGCCAGTGAAAAATGGTGTTCATGATATTATATATATATATATATCTTCACCCATAGCTAGAATTGATAGAGCTTCTTTCTATATTGCGTTGAATGGAGCCCAAAACCACCGAAACTTATTATTAAATTTGGACATTTGGTATTGTAAGAAACTTTTGTTTGTTACCTACACAAACAAAACAATTTTCCTGGAGAGTGTTTAGTGGTAACCCTAAAAATAAGGATGACAAAATTAAATATTTTACTATACAAACAAAGATTTTTTAATGAAATAGTATGCGTACAAGCAAAATCTGAATCAGAATCTGAAACCAGAATGATGAATTCATTTTGGTAAGCAGGTGCCTGCGCGCCGGCTCGGAAATCGGCGGCTACTATGGACACTTCCATTTGAATGCATGTGCCATTCCTGCCGCCGAAAATCTGAATCGGCGTGCACTCTGGACCTACCGTTAAATCATTTCATTAAATACACTAGTTTTTATTTTGCCTCCTTGTCTTAAGACGTAAATGATCCAAAGTGTTTTATTTGTAAAATCAACCCAAAATATAATTTTCTATAATCTTTTGCAAAAGTTTACATTTTATGCCCAATACGATTAGAATTATTTTAAGCTTGCTGAAGGTAAAAAAAAAAACAAACAAGTATATTGTACAGACATTTTTACAACAATAATAAAGCTTTTAAACAATAAATACTTACATTAAATGTGAAAATAAATTACAATAAATAAATATTATATAAGTTCCTTAACTAACATTTGTACAACACCATTAAATACATTTTTGGTGGATTGTTTTAGTGCACATGTTGGCCCAGTTTAGGATTTTTTACATGTTTTTACTTAAGTTTATTGACCTTTATAACTACGACGGAAGATCACATTAGACCTGGATACAGTTTCATATTTCAACATATCTTTGAATTTCTTATAAATATACAAACAGTTTAAATTCATTTGAACTAAAATTACATGCCAGTAAATCCACTGTCTTGAAATTTTATGATTCATTATCAACCTGTTGGTAACTTTACGAAATTGTTATCAAGATTATTGTTTACTATAACTTAAAATTTCATATAATGTAACATAACAAGAATATTCATGTCCATTCACAAAAAATGATAAAATATTACAACCACTTCTTAGCAGACATAATCCTCAGTGCTCAATACAAGGAAGAGTTGCAGGGAAAAGTTGAAAGCTATTCAAGAGCATATAGAAGAAGATAGATTTGTGTTGTAAGACGAAACTATTAATGTTTACCGTTGGTAACTAGTTGCTCATAGGCTATGGTTACATCCAGAATCTGTCATTGAAAAGCCTTTTAACTTTTTACATTTGTACAAAACTTTCCTAAAACACTAGTGCTCTCAGTTCATTTTCAATGGAAAAACAGGAAGACATTTAACCTTCAACAAAATATTGTAAATACACTTTTTAATGTCTTTCATGCAGCTTATAAAATGGAAGCATAACCAAATGTTTCAAAATGAACTTCATAACTTTGACAAATAACTAATAGTTGATTTATTCATTACACAGAAATGCTTTTTTGGTACCTAATTTTGTTTAAAAGGTGAGCTTTTTCTTTTTGAACAAATATAAATATGGGTTTTGTTAGTCAACCTGTGGGTTGTTGGAGATAGTTTTAACAAAATTCACCGCAAAATGGCATCACATGGCAGATCTTATACTAAGCTAGTATGACCCCATATTTTGTATCCTTGATAAACTAAAAAAGTGCACACTCGCTGAAGAAACAGCTTTGTGATTATGACCTAATAGACCCAACACTAATTTGAAAATATCTTTTCTCAAAAAGGTGTTTTTTCTGCATGGGACAAAAGATTACCAATGGATATACCCAAGGTTCTTTCAGGAAAAGGAGCTGCTACCAAATGGCTTTGTAATTACTTTCTGCTTATATAACAAATAGGGTATGGTATCAAAATTAATTCACAGAATAGATATATATATATTATGAGTCAACATATTCGTCATATTTGTAACATTACATTCGAAGCATTTCAGCATATTAAAAAGGACGGTTTATTTGTCAAAGATAAAGCCCTTTTTGAAACATCTGTATGAATTCACAGTTATTTATTTTTGGAATAAATATAAGAATTTTATAGGCCTACTCAATTTAAAGCAAATACTATAATTATTTTAAAGGGTAAAGCAATTATATTAAATTTTGTTTAAAATGCTTCAGCCATAAAAGGTTTAAGCGATTGACAATTAACAACTGGGAATATGAGTGGAATTATGTATATCCATCTGCTTGGCTGAAATAAAATAGAGTTTGAATAACTTTTACTATATATCTCAATTCACAGAACCAAAATAATGACATTGCCTTTACAACGTAAGTTATTCATTCATGTTTAATTCTTTAACTATGTTTAAAATTGCTACCATTTCTCTAGTTTTTACTCAAATTTAGTTAACAATCACTTAGCATTTTTTTTTTTTTTTACTTTTAAAAAGTGTATGAGGATACTTAGATATTATTCAGTTTAATGCTTACCTCGAGACAAAATAACTTGCTATTTGGATTCTCTAAGTCTCCAATTGTGCCTGATGACCTATTGACTTACTGTGATTGGTCAACATTGATTGCTATGTAACATCTTTTATGTATAGAAGGTCCCCTGACATGGTCCCTATTGTTTAATTAATATACAGTAGAACCATGGGGATTACAAAATAAGACTTGTTATCAAGGTTGACTTCTTATCAATGTTTTCAATAGGGGTAAAATAATTTCAAGGGGATTTGAAAATTACACTTGTTATCAAAGTTACCATACTCGCCACAACCTTGAAAATTTGCAGTTATAATCAATACACACTCATGTAAAAAAAATATCTCCAAGTATAATTTATTTTGATTAAGCACAACAAAATGGCAAAATAACAAAATAAGAACCAAATTAGCAAAAGAAATTAGGGGGTAAAAAAAGTATATTTATATTTACGTCCCCATCTCAATGATTGATTGATTGATAATAGGAAGGGCTTAAAGGATAGCAACAGCTGTTTCTAATTCCAAATCTATCAGCTGATTTAGTGAATCCACAATAATGAAACAATAATTGAGTGTATTTATTTATAAATCTGTGTTGTATCAATTTGTGTTGTGTCTAATGTAACATTGAATTAAGAATTTATAAATTGGGAACTTAATATCAGTAAAATCTTCAGCAAATTATTCCTATTTAAATTCACCATAAACTTGCCAGTTGCTAATCATACATCGCTTATCCCTTACATTCCTGCTGAAGCTTTTAACTATATACAATTGCATCACAAATTCCATGTAATTTTCATTACACAGAAAAAATTTTTCTCATGTGCAGATTCATAAAGCTTTTAGCATTTGAATAAAACAGTTAACAGTGAAAGGAAGAGTTTTCACAAAAGAACATCAAGCATTAACTAAGACACATAGTGCGTACTCATAAAATTCTATACAATATGGACACAGTCGATTTATACACGATTAACAGTCTTTGGAAGTAAAGTACATATCACAATGTCAGGAAAGCGGGCGTCAGTGGACCCCGGTGATGGTTTGTAGCCATGGTTTGTAATAGGTTGTGCGCATGTAGACACCAGGTAGGTAGGGTGCCGCACACTTGATACCGTGTGATACGGTGCCGGCCAGAACCCACCGACCATCTTCTCGCTCTACCATCAGGGGTCCTCCGCTGTCACCCTACACACACACATAGACATAGCATGTTTTCAGTTGTATAAGTGACACTTTTTAATACAAGCTCAATTTGAAACTAAAGTAAGCTTAAAGTAAGCTTTATAGTTTAACATGTTATAACTTTCTCATCAAAAGTTTTCAACATAGCTTTCATATTATTCAGTAATTTTAAAGATCTCTTTCTAAACTAATCAGCTATTGTATTGCTTGGTTTTAGATTAGACCTTTGACATGGATAGAGCTATAGACATTCAATTCTTATTAGCCAGTTTTGTAATAAAAATGGACTGGTTTCTGTCGAATACACCAACTTTTTTATCCAAGCAAAACTGAAGGTACAGCTTACAAAAAGCTAAAGCATATTTTTTTAATTGACTACAACAGTTCCATATAGATAAGATGCCTTCTCCAGTTTCTAAAAGTCAATGATTGGGATTAGAAAAACAATAGCAGCTAATATCAGTGGTGGCGCTAATAAAGAATCGGGGCCTCCACAAAAAAAAAGATTTCTGGCACGTTTAGCATTGTTTGGCATATCTCGGTTACGGTTAAAAGAATTTTTTTAAGTAGTTCTTTAGAAAATCTAAAGAACAAAATAAAAGCACGAGCAATGTATACTATACTTAATTTTGTCACCAGTGTGGGACACTTCAGACTCTATTGACAAATTAAATTGACTGAGCATTGCGGTAAAAAAAACTCTTGCTATGTTAGTTTACGTCAGTAACCTACAAAATTTTCTTGAGATCTGTACTAAATTTTGTTTAAGCTACTGGAGTGTATATAAAAAAATTCTAAATCGACAATATTTACGACAAAATACCTGCCGCTAACTGATATACTGGACATTATGAACCAACAGAAAGGGTTCCCAAAGTTTTACGTGCAGCATTCCCCAAATAAGCACAAATCCGGCAGAATTTTTTTATAATTCTATATGCAGTATTCCCCAAAAAAGCTCAAATAATTATTTCCTCAACATCACTGACCTCACAAGAGTCCCGCTGACCGTTGGCATATCCTGCACAGAGGAAACTGCTGATGATACTCTTGGAATGACCAGCTGTGTGGAACATTTCCTGGCAGACAGAGTTCTCTATGACTGGGACTTGAACTTCCTGCAGGACACTTGGTACTCCACCTCCTGCAAATTCACATGAAGATTAGTTTCAAGGTCCACCTGATACAACAAACTTAGGGGTCCCAGTGCTCAGCCAAACAGACCAATGCAGACTTTGTGCAAAAAAGGTAGAATCCGCTGAACAATCGTCACTGGATCCAGCTTTAGGCCAGAGAATGTTGAAATTCCTAGGAAAGGGGACCATGATACCAAAGGAAATCAAATAAATGGGTGTTCTACACCTGTTAGGATTGACCAAGAGCCTCGATGGGTTGAATCAAGATGTGCTACAAAAGGCCAAACGATCACAGTAGCTATGTGTAGCTATACCTCAATGTCCTCAACCCCTCCTTAAAAAAGAGCTAAAACCAGTTTTTCTCTTATTTGATCCAACTTACAATGATTGACCAAGACACAGAAGTTGCTTCACTTCCTCCTATCTTAACCAATACTGTTTTATAATTCCTTCAACTTTCAGACATGGTCAGTGGCGGATCCAGTCAGGGGGAGTGGGGGCACGCGCCCCCCCCCCTCATACATAAACATTTTTTAACTATAGGATAGGCCTAAAATGTAATAATGTGAAGGCCTGGCCTACACTCTATTATTACTTAACTGCCAGAAATTGACAAATTTATGTATTTTCCTTGTAAAATACTTAACCCTGCAAGCTATTCCACTTTAATAGCTTTTATTTTGAGGAAGCAGTCACATTTGACTGAATAAAGGACATTTTATTTGCCCACTTCAGAATGTGTTGCACTAGATCCACTCCATTCCATATGAACTAGATTGTATCCGGTATGACCATAAACTGATATTCTAAGCTTTATTCCATAAGACTGTATGGAATGGTTCTGGTATTTATATTAAATTGTATGTATGTATTCTTTTCATCCTATTGTAAATTTTGAAGCTTGTTTTGAGTGCGTTTCATCAGTGGCGGATATAGAATATTTTTTTGTAGGGGGGGGGGGGAATTAATTTAAGGTTAGGTTAAGTAATTTCAAGTAGACACACCAAGATACTTTATCTTAGTTTTGCTGCGGTAATTTGCGCTAAATGTGACCTTTACTTTACCAAGATCACGCTGTATCATTATATAGTTCCATTAAATCATACGAATATCTATTCAAGCCAAATGAAGAAAATATATCAAATTACTAAACCAAAAAACATTGGTCAAGATTTAACAGTGTGTCATCCCATCTATAAACACTTATCCGAACCTAAGGAGTCAAATACGTGATTGTGATTATCATTATATTCTGAGGGGTTCTAATCACTGTATATAAGTATTTTTTTGAGCGAACTAAAGAAAACGTTAACATTTCAGTACAACATATGCCGAACAGATGTAAATAACAAACAATAACAATGGCTACCACTGAACTAACTGAACTCTTCATTACTCCCCTCCCCTGTCGCCGGTAGATATGCTGGTCTCTAGCGGTCACTGCTGCAAGCGAAGATAGCCGGGCAGCGGGCGGGAGCTCGAGTCGGTCTGAATCAAACTGAATTCGCACAAACTATCACTGTCTGCCACGGCGATGACTTTGCGCATGATTCACGATAAATAATTAATATTATGGTACCGTACCTATTTATTTTTCATATCCATTATATTGGGGGGGGCACCACCCCTGACCACCCCCCTCCCTTATATTCGCCCCTGCGTTTCATAATTGATTTTTATATACCCAATATCAAAAACTACATATATATATATTACTTTATATTGGGGTCAATAGTTTCGTATTAGTGAGGTTTGAGAGTATTGACTAAATGTTTTTTTCTCATTTTCTTTTTAGGGGAAATTATATTATTTGCTCTTTATTATTTTGTTAAAATACTATACTACAGGTTAAGTGCTGGATTTATAATAGATCGTTTTATTTGGTTAAGAGTTTAAATAGGCTAAAAATTAAAGGGAATATTTGATAATCAATAAATTTCCCTCTACATAAACCAGTAGGATCTAACCTTAAAATTGTCTTCAACATCTCCCGCGATCGTGTTGACAACGCTATCCTCTCATACGATCGCGGGAAAGTTTTAAACAACCCCGCTATATCGAAGACATTATAATCGTATCCCGTGATTGTGGCGGATTTAAGAGCATCTCCCGTGAACACCAAGACAGAGTTATGTGAATAAAAACTAGTATAAGCAAATACTAGGGGATTTCTTAAGTAAATCCTATGTTTTGTGTGAATAAACACACTAGTACTTGCTAGGGATAGTAAGTTCTAGAGTTTTCCCGGAAGAGAAGTAAATACTTAAAAATTGGTGTGAATAAAACTTTTTAAGTAGATTGTTCTGTAGCATATGCTTCGATATTTTCAAGCCTGGTCTGGAGCATTCTGGACTTTTTCCTAGCATTTACTAAGCATCATACCTGTTTGCTCAGTCCACAGTTTGTTGTTGATCATGGCTCAGTTTATGCCTATTTGTCAACGGAAAATTTATTCTGTTCGCTCTGGAATAAATGAACGTAATTGTAAAGAACTGTTAGGTCTAACAGTGAGAGGGTTGATTTCCTTGCGGACTATTTTTTTTAAGAAAGTCATAGGCCTACTCGTGGCGGTAACTTGATTGTACTCAAATTGAGATACAAAAGCCTGGGCTACACAGTGATGATTATATTTTTAGAAAAGGATATCCTAGTATAAATTAAAACCTAGCATTTACTTGGTCTAGCATGTACTACTCCGCGAGTAAGTGCTTGGGTTTTTCCGGATTCTACTAGACTTGCCCTAGTATTTTCTACAAATCTTTATTCACACTGATTTGACCAAATACTTACTAGAGCTAGCATATGATGGTTAGAAAGTGCTGGTTTTTATTCACATCACTCAATCATCATCTTTTGCAAACACGACCAAATTTTGAACAACCCTGTAGGTGCTAAGTCTACCGCGATTTTGGAAATATCATGAACATCCCCGTGGACGCCAAGACTCGTTATTGTTTCCTGAGATCCGGACAATACCCTGAACACCCACCAGGATTGCAATTTGCAAAGATATCATCATTGTGTTTCGCGATCATGGCTAAATCTTCACGTCCCGCGCAATCGCGGGGACAAAATTATTGCATAACAACCAATAAACCAAAAAGTTTTTCATTAATTCAGGTTTTTTACAAATACCAGTAAACTGAACCCAACTTCAAAAATGGGTTTTATTTTGAATCATCATAAAGTTCACACATTTTCGTTGATATAGCTGCTATGAACTATGGCAAAAATGCCACAGAATTTTTAAAAATTTAAGTGTGCCCCCCTCCCCTTAACCAAGTCCTGGATCCGCCTCTGGATCTGACCAATACTCGCCTTCAGCCAGTTTCTGCACCATCAACCAAGATGATGACATTACTAGATTACTAATAGCATGTAAATTTACTAACTCGCTCCTTTTATATAGTTTCTGTTCATAAACACCTTTAATTATATGATAACATCAAGACCAGGTTTGGAGTCCATCTGAAGCTCTACATATCAATCATACATAAAAGGTCTCTCAGAGGAGTAGAACTTTTTCTCTACCGCAAAAAAACCCTCTACCAAAACCAATACAATATTTTTAAGGCTAAAACCAGGTTTTCATTTTATTCATATTAGCTAAGGTGTTACATCCTAACTCCTTATCAGTGCTAAATACCTTACATCCAACCTTATGTTTCATGACTACCAAACACACTGTTTCTTAACCTGTCCATTTCAAGTAAAAAAAAAATATAATTGCTTGATGTTGGAATACACTAAAAAGTGTATTCAAATTAATTTCAAATTAATATTTTGAATCAAAACATAACATAACAAAATATGCATTTCATAACAAGTTATGTTACTTACCATATTTTAATCTTCCCCAGCCAGTGACTGTGGCCATTCTTCCTGTGAAATCGTCAGTGTCTTGAGGCATGCAGATAGGTACAATGTGTGAGTCAAACGCGACTGGGGATTCTAGTTCAAGAAGTGCAATATCGTTCTCAAAGGTAGCCGCATCATACTGTCTGTGCACTATGACTCTCCTCACATTCTTGCTGACACTGCGTTGGGATTCTAACTCCCCGCTGATGTCGTACTCTCCAAACACTGCCACTAGCGAAGCCAAAAACCTGTAAGATCGAGAATTCAATTTTTTGTGAGTGGACAAAAAATTCACAGTCAGTGTTGTGCGAAAAAGAATTACTTTTTGCACAGTTAAGGAATTGCAGATTTTCACGAATAATCTTTTTTATTGTCTAATCATACCATTAAATGCTATTCTGCTCTTAAAGTATAAGAGGTTACTGGCTTCAATATAAAATATTTGAAACTGAAGCCATCGTCATGTTAAGAAACGTTGAGATTGGCTCAGCATACAAATGCTTTTACAAAAATACAAAAGCTTTCCAAAAAAGTATGGGAGAAACTCCTATACACAAAGAGTGTCAGTGTCTTTCGTAATGAATTAGTTGATTGTTTTCTATGTTTTAGATGTATGCTCCATTACTGTTAATAGCAACTTACCCTGGTTGGCAATGAGCGGCTGTGATCACGTATCTACTAGTGATCAAAACACCTCCACATTTGTTCTTGGTGAATAGCCCAAGCCATGTTGCCTCTCTCACGAGAACTTGCCACGGCCATTCTCCAAATGTTGCTCCCTTTCCCCCAACAATTCTTCCATTTTTCATCAGCGGTCTAACACCACACTCTACAACATTTTCCGTTTTCAGTCATAAATAAAATATCATTGCTTACACAGGGCAGTTTGTGATGGAAAGTAAATAAAAATAAATATAAAAACACTTGAAACATATATTTAACACTTAAACTATTAGCTCACGAGACGGTAAAGATGGTAAGAGGTGAATGATTTTGATTCGACACTCATGATTGGAGTGTCCAAATTATATGATAGGTTACGTACCTTTTAATTCTGTCTCCAGTCCTTAATATAGTCAAGGGTGACTAGTTTTTCAAACCCATGTCATCAATTGGTTGGTCCATGAATCCGACAGAAGTCTTCGTTGTAAGATATAAATACACGTCGACACATAAAGTTCACACATTTTTAACACAAGACATTTAATGATGGTAGCCGGCCACATTTATTAGGGACACATTGAGCGGAGTGTTCAATCGAAATCGATCACCGCTTACCGTGTTTTACTTATATATACTTATTATTTTGTGGGTTAACGGTGTGAGTGTGAATATATGTTTCAAGTGTTATTAGACATATTTTTTAATTACGTTCTGTAAATTAAATAACATGTACGATGCTAATAAAGCTTTTATTGAACTTTTTTGTAAAAATCATGGAAATATTAAATATGTTCAAATATATATGGCTTGACAAATATAAATTGTACTGTATATGGCATAGCTTAACATCAACTGAACATGGTATTACAGTAAATTACACTACTGTACAAGGACTTAATCTAAAATTCATTATGTAAGTAACAAAAATACTAACATCAATAATACCGTGAAGCTGATGTCAGCTGCCTGCAGATCAGGATGACTTCAAGGAATTGGAAATTCAAAGCAGAAATGGACAGGAATAAGGATAAAGATAGGTTAAAGAAGCTGAGATAAAGTGGTTGAGACAACATGAATAGATGCAAGCTGATGATCTTCCATTGGGATCAGCAAAGGATTATGTTTGTTTATTATGTATTGGATTTAACTGAAGCGAAAATTCAGGCCAAGTTTTTCTATAATTTTCTGAAAATAAAATACTGATGTATAAAGATGATTTACCTTTGGGTATTTTACGTTTGTACTTCTTACAATGAAAATTATTAATTTGGGAAAAATCTTGATGGGCCAGAGGTATATAACGTGCAGTTTGAAACATATACCAAAACAATCACTCACCCTTCTTGTAGTTCACTTCCGACGGTGGTTTTGATGGCGAAGCTTCAGTTTGTTCTTCGACAATACTGATGTTGTCTAAGACAACTGTTGTTGGCGTCGGTCGTTTTGTGGTCGTCGAGGTTGGGCTCGATTGATAAACAACCAATGTCGAGGGTGAAGTAGGTTTTTTAGTGGGTTTGTTTTCACTATCGTCTAGTGGTTTGTAGTTGGTAGACAGTAATACAGTCGTGGTTGGGCGATTTGTGTAAATGGATATATCCGGCTTAACCGATGTCGGTTTTGTGATTGATACAAGTGGTTTTGGAGTAGTAGGTTTAGTAGAGGGTTTTTTTGTGGGTCTGGAAGGTTTTGAAGAAGTTGACACTGTGGAAGGCTTTTTCACTGGTTTTTGAGACAGTGTAGCATTTGGCTTTGTTTGACCATCTAATAGAACATTTTCTAAGTCAACAAAGTTCCCTTCAAGTGACTGAACTATTTTTTCTACAAAACCGTGGACTTTGTCATTAAGTGTGTCATCTTCAATGAAGTTCACCGTTGATTGCTCTTCGTCGATGGCAGTGGTTGAAGTAGAGAGGTCCGGCTTATCAGATTGTGAGAGGAGTGTGATGTTTGGATCTCTCACTGGAGGAAATGCTACAAGAAGACTTGAACTATTCACCACTGGTTCATCATCAGATTGTGTTATCACAGACACTGGCCTCACAGTGTTGACAGTGGGTCTGTATTTATCTGAAGGTTTAGGCTTTATGTAAGAAGACTGGACAGGTTTGCTCGAAGATGTATCAAGACTTGAAACTGAGTTAGTTGAAACAAAAATAGGTCTATTCTGTTGCGGGTATCCCGGTTTTGAGGAAGTAATAAGAACTGGCTTATTTGATATGTAACTCCCAGGCTTTTGAGATATGTAAGTCTGGACTGGTTTTACAGTGGTGAAAGTGATCGGTTTGTTGGATGAATAAATCGAAGGATAAGGTTTAGGAGGTTTGGTTATAAGATGAACTGGACTGGTCATCTGTTGAGATCCACCAGTGGATGGGTGAGTAACAGAGATGTAGGGAGAAGCAGTGGTCCACGATGGTTGGTGATTGTAGGTGGAATGAGGTGGAGGTTTCACTGATATCACACTGCCTGTTGGCTTCACAGTCACTACGGTCGAGTGCTGGAAGGGGGACAGAACAGTCACGGTTTGTGACGGTTTCTGTTGATTGTCGTTGTAACTGGGAGTGTTTGCTGGTTTCACTGAGGAGTAAGTGTTGAAAGGACCCAGCACTATCACTGTAGGAGGAGGCTCGGGTGTAGTGTTGTCATGGGGTTTTGGTGTGATGTCTACTTGTGGGGTCACTTGGAATGAAGGTCCTTGAACATGTTGCACTGTCGTACTCACAGAAGGCTCATTAGAGGCTTCATATTCATAGTAGTGGGAGGTTGTGTATGAGGAGGGATATGAACCGGTTTTCTCAGGTTTCCCGTTGATTGAAACCCAGGTTGATAAACTGGGTGAACTTGTTGAAATAGGTTCAGGAACTGGTTCAGTATCGTTCAAAAGATGAAGGATGTGATTTATAGATACAGCATCAGTTACATCCTCAATTCCAGGTTTGCTGTTTGTTATGGTAGGAATGAGGAGCATATTGTCTTCATGTGGTAGGGAATGAGTCGAGTAGCTTTTTTCAGTAGTGGATTGAGTAAAAGTATTTGATGTAACAGGTTTTGGTTTCAGGGGTTGGTTGCTGGAGGTGTAAGATATGGGCTTTGTAAACAGTACAGGTTTGTTGGAATCTTTTGTAGGGCCTGGTTTTGTGAAGTAAACATAGGACGGTAACTTAGTAGTAGAATGTGTTTGCATACTGAGTGTGGAATGTTTAGTAACAGTGTCATCGTCAGTTGTCGAAGGAAAGTTCTCCTCATCATGACGGGTGGTGCCCTGCATTGAAGGTGTGACTGCATTGAATTCGGACTGAGTGGTTTTAGACATGGCCTGTGTATTGGAATTATAGGGGTGTTTGGTTACCCAATGAGATGAATCGTCATCGGTTTTTGTGAAAACGTTAGTTGAAGACAGATGATTCTCAAGATCAATTACATAACTTGGGGTATTGACTTCCGGTAATGGAGAACCTTCCTGTGGCTTTTTCAGTAAATCAAATTCCTGTGGATCATTTTGATCGACTACTACAGAGCCATTTTTGTGAAGAAGAATAGTTTCTCCGACAGGATGAAGAGTGATTGGCTTTGTAGAAAGGGTGTTGTGGTCAATAGGTTTGAGAGATGTTGTTGAAGGGGAAGAGGAGGGAACATCAACTCCTGGAGGAAGATAGACGGATCCCGGTGGAAGTTTGCAACAAGCACCGAAGAGGAAACCGTCCATGCATGATCCGACCACTTGACCGTTTCGTTGTGCACATTCATAGTTGAACATGCACACTCCCTTCGCCTTGCCATTTGATGTTAAGTCTGCACAGGTCTTTGGCACAATACGGTAACCTCCAAATTTCTTTCCTGAAACAAAAATTTGTATTTAAGATTAAAGAGATTGAACAAACATTTTAATTTTATTTAAGAAAGTATTAAAACCACTAAACAGTAGTGGCAAAAATACGTTCTTTGAACTAAAACTATTTTCTCCTTAAAACTATCATTGCTGTTTAAGTCTACGCAATTATCACCTCTTCTCCCCCCCCCCCCTATCAGGCTATCACTTTTACCATCCCACATAGATAATTCTAGTGTAGCGCAGTTAAAATCTGTTAAATAATATACATGGATAGTATTTTTTATACACTTTCCTTAAAACAGTTTTAATTTCAAAACATTAAAAAATGTTTACTGGAGAAAGAGAGGGGGTCATGGAACACCACTACCTACACTTTACGTGGTTTAATTTCACGCCTTTGATTTTATTTTCCTCCCTTTTTACTTAAGGAATTCAAAAATTGATATTCCAAATTGACTACCTAGACAATTACGTTTTAGAAAACCACAATCCAGGTAATTAACACTCTAGGTTACAGTAAGCACACATGTTATTGAAAATCTAGTTTTCCCTGAAACTTGGACCAGAGATGCAAAAGTCCCTTTCATCTAATCCTCCATTTTGTATAATTAGCCCAAATGAATGATTGTTGGACTAGTTTTGTTGCAAGTTCAACATAATATTGAATCTAGGTACTTTGGCATAATACGGAGGCCACCCTTATACTTTGCGCTGCAGCGGTTAGGTTGGGTTATCATAAATAGAAAGTATGACTCATCTGGTATGTTCGATTCATAACGAAAAGAGGAAAGTCCTACAAACATATTTATGATAACCCAACCTAACATTGCAGGCTGTAAAATAAGTGGCCTCTGTATAATACCAAAGTACCGAATCTACTTCCAGGACCATTCTGTATGGTAGCGCTATATTTTTAGTTCCATTTTTATTTCAAGTTTTAGCGAATTTCCTTATAGGGAAGTAGCTATTACCGTAGGTCTCATGGTAAGACTTAGGCCCGGGACTGATTTACTTTTTCATTTTGATGTCCCCAGAGGCCAAAAACACCATTCGTTCAAATTTTTATATATGTATATATATATAGATTTATATATATATGTGTCCGTGAACACGATAACTTGAGTAATTTTTATCCGATTTTTATGAAATTTGGTTTGAAGGTGTAAGGCGGGATAAACTTGAATGAGTTTGCGATCCAGCATGATCGGACCATGGGAACAGGATTTTATGGGGGGTTTTATGGGGTAAAAATTGGCTTTTCTCACTTTTGACCCTCAAAACACAAAATTTTCCAATTTTTCTCTTAACCTTCTTAAAGAGCTTAAAAAAACAAACAATTCAGTATATCAAAGTGTTTTTGTACGGTTATTGGTTACGGAGAAAACTAAAAAAATTTTAAATTTAAAATTCCCATGTTATTCTTATGGAGAATATTGTAAAATGTTGTAGTTTGCTTGTTTATGGATATCTTTTGATCAAACTTGGCAAATATATTCATTTTATACTAAGCAAAAATTATTTTACTTAAAACACACACTTTATTAGTTTCCTTGTAGCAGCAAACCTAGGTACTCGTTAAACCTAATGTTATTTAAATAGATCGATTGAAAATCAATTCAGCCAAATGGAAATTCGCTTAGACGGCAGGTTTGCTGCGGCGGGGGTATTTTATCATCTTATGACTGGTACAGAGACCGTTTTTGACGATTTGCACAAAAATCAGCACAATTTGGTTGAAGGAGAATTTTGACTGCAGACGGCAAAAGCTCAGGAAGTAAGTCTATTTTTTCAGGATGGTGTCCAAGGACTATCATATAAAAATGAAAGTAGACTGTATATGAATCTAAAATATTCTGGGGATTGGACATGAAAAAATACTGACTGACGTTTCTTAAGCGTAGAAAAGAATCTTTATAGCAACACTAATCCATTATCCAGCTTGCTGATGCGATTCACCATAACCTACCCAAACAAGATATTTTGCTGACCCCACAACCCAGCCATCTTGGTCGATCGTACACGAAAGAATGCTGTATACAACAACGTTACAATAGTTTTGAAGTGGTGCCGACCACCGACTCATTGCGCATAATCCTGCCACGCGTAGTACTGCGTCACCGATCCAACGCGCATGCTCACTGCTCCGAGCCACGACGCGCCAAGTTCACTTTCAGGAGATTAGTAGGTCACATAACGGGGGCCCTGACCTTGCGCCGCACTTTCATTGCCACTTGCCGCTTCCTGCCCTCCTCCCTCTGGTTTACTCTTCCAGAAACACGTAAATAGTCTCAGTCTCAGAGTGTCAAGTCGGTCATTCTAGAAGAGGTTAGGACACTGATGTCGAAACGTGTCTGATCCCACTACAATTGACCGTTACAGCACTTTTCACATCTGTGAGATATTAGGGTAGTATTATACGGATCGTATTGGATTTGGTGGGAAGAATAGCCGTTTGTGTTTTTGTATATTTCTACTTTTACATTACGTAAAATTATCCGAAACAGTACATCATATACCTTTCCAAGGTTTAATTGATCATTATTAGTCAGTACTTCCTTGCGACTCGTAAGTTCTTTTCATAATTTTAACATTGTTTGGGTACAGACATGACTTATACTTTTAGTAAATCAAATATGAAGATTTACCTTGAGTTGGGTTCTGATCGGAGTATAGAGCGCTGAAGCCGGAGACAGAAAACGCACAGGCAGATAAAAGTATCAGCAAAGGGAACATTCTCGTAGTCACATCCTGAAAACAGAAAAAAACGTATGAAATACAATTCAAAAATACTTTATGCCCACCAATCTTTATTGAGGAAACAATCTTACCTAAAAAAACTTAAAAATATTTTTGAAGTTATATTTCTTACAAATCTTTAAAAACAAGATGCTCGCATTTACAAACGATATTTGAAAGTTCTTGCGTTATTAATTTATTTTCAGTTTGATTGTTTAAAGTGTAGTTGTCAACATTTTTTCAAGTCATATCGGATGAACATTTTACGATGTATTTTCCCTGATGAAACAGAAATCGTTTACATTATACTGACTCTTGTGAAACCTAAATGAGAAAACATAAAATAGATAAATGGCAGAAGAAAGCAAAAGTTCAATTCTTCTATACAAACAACAGTGAGTGCAAATTATACAATGACGCCATAGAACTTTCCACCAGTTTACATCACAATGAGTGAAAACTATCGGATGGTATTTATGGGAATCAGGTGAAGGCTGTCTACAGTATTAGGAAGGTGGAGAGGTGCTGAAGACTAACTTCCGGTAGAGCTGAACCACAAGTACTTCTCATAAGTTTCACCACGGAGAAGATGACCGACTTAGAATAATCGGGGATCTCATCAAGATAGACTTCCTGAATTTTAAACAGCTCTTCAGCTCCCGAAAAGAGCTTTCTTCTCTTGTCACCAGGACTGATTATCCTGCAAAATGTGGATACGCTTGAAAATCTTGATTACAATTTACATTTTTAGACTGTAATCACTTGAATCTGACACGATGGGTTTTGAGGACAGAGCTCTAAAATAAAATAAAATTAAGGAATTTCACGAGAAGAGAAAGAAGTCGTTGATTGAAAATCAATAACCTAAACCAAAAGATAGACGAATTTCCACACTTAATCATTTTAACTAAAGACAGTGACTTTCCTGGTTCACGTTGACGTATTTAAGTCAGAATATGTGCGATTGTTGAATGGAGTGGATGATCTGGGTAGTTCTGTTACTGACTAACGACTAACATCAGCTGATTCTTAAGTCATATCTATATAATTAATACGCGAACACGAAGTTTGTCGGTTGAACTCCTCCGCCATTTCTTAACCGATTTTATCCATTGACGTCTCATTGGAAAGACCGTCTCACGTAGATTTGCAAACTGGCCTTACATTTTTGAAAGAGCCCCTTGGGCTCTGCCCCAGTGGCTTTTAAAGTTCCCATGTTATCCTTATGAAGAACATAATTGTTTACATTTTGATCAGCTTTATAATTTAATTGCTATTATTTATTTTTCAATTCAACGAAACGCATTTGGTACATTTACTGATTTTGTTGAAAATAAATATTTACTATTTTAATTTACACTCGTACATATTACAATGTAAAAAATCGAGAGAAAGCCTGGGCAATTTGATATATTTTACCAAATAAGAAAAATAAATTGATAGGTTACTGTAATTCTTGATCAATCATTGAAAGAACCGACTTGTTAACCGTGTAAACATATGAAAGTAATAGAACACCACCAAGTAGAAGAAATAGAGATTAAAAAAAATACTATCGTTATCATCCTATATAATGAAGAACAGCTACAATATGAAGATTCCCACAAAACTATGAACAAGGATGTTAGCCGAAGTGCTACTATTTTGTAGGAAACACGGACTTAACTTTATGATGATTGGCAAAGGAAATAACTTTTGAGGCCGAATTAAACTGTTACGGCAAGGACATTAAATATTATGTTTTCATAAAACTCAAGTGATTTTAAAATAATATGACTGCATCCAACAAACCTTAATAATAATGTCATTGAAGGATTCGCATTATTCCCATTCAAGGGAAACAAAACACCATCTGAACAACATTTGGCCTTTCAATTCTGCATTTTTTTAGGTAAATATAACTTACTTTATAACAGTAACTAGCCAAATTAATGCCAATTGAAGCAAATAAAATTGTGACAGAGAGGTTATGCAGAAAATCAGGCAGATCTTAAGTAATGTAAACAAAATTTTATCGCTATAAAAAATGACTGAAATTTGTTAACGTAATGGCGACAATGGGTAGTTGGGTAGTACCATGCTGACTACATTATCATTGACGAAGATCAACATGGACAACCTAATGCGGCTATAAGTGGGAAACATTTGTAGAATACACTAAAAACCATATCAGCTTTTGAAAAATGACAAAATATTTACAAGAAATGTTTATTATATGGAACTGTTAGGTACGTAATCTATGAGTTGAGTCTTTTAAACTCATCGGAAATTGTGACTTTATTTATTCGTTTTTAAATAAGTTATTTGTTTTTAAATAACTACTTTACTTTTTTGCAATTGCTCGATTTCGAACAACATGCACACTAGTTCATTTATTAAAAGGCCAACGATCAAGTGCATATGTCTAGTTTTTAAACAATACAGGGTAAGGGTGTACCCGATCTCTCTACCGACCTAAGGTAGAGGTAATATTCCTGGTCCAAAGAAAATCACTATACCGTTAAACATTTCCAAAACTCAAAATATAACGGCTTGTAAGTAGACATTTGGTACATATATCAACAATGCAAAGACATATATTGAAAAAAATATTATTTTGTAAGTGCTTATTTTCAAAATGGTGATTATTTATCATTTGAAAAATAAAATAAAAATGTCATGCAAACAAAACTATTGTGCTAATCGTTTTATTAAGACAAGTTTATTAGAATTGTAACGACAAAATATAAATTCACTACACAAAGACGTTAACAAATAAAAAAAATACTAGGTGAAACCCGTCTAAATCTACGGGTTCTGTTGAGGTTTCAATCATTTAACTATCAATCTATGATAAATAGCTCCATTTTTGGAGAATTCTGTGTCGTTCGTGATTCAGCAGCGAACATACGTCCGATCTTAATAACGATTAACTCAAATGAAAGTTTGTATTTCACTGAATAGTCAGATAAATATAGGATATGACCTTAAAAAATTGCAAGAAAACGTTTTATGGTCTTATTTTGTAGTGCTGGGCTTGCAGAATGACATACTAAAAGTTGCCAAAAATCGGTGCACGAGAAAACCACTAAAATCATAATTTAAAATTGCGGCTTTTCCCAACATTGGACAAATTAAAAAAAATATATTTCACATGCATTTTTTGTGCACATTTTTCGAGATATTGACTTGGGACCACCACCTGTATTAATTTGGTAGTTAGTACTTCATTTTGATAGGGAACACGTTTTTGGCCACCATCTTGGATCCGCCATATTGGACATAGATAATTTTTTTTCAATGTAATGATAGTGTTGTGACACATCATTACAAACTAAATTTGTACACTGATTTCAATGCCGAAATCGGGTTTTCAATATCTTTTTTAATTTAGAAGATATGCTCAAACGAAAACTCTTCCCCATACATTTCTTATGGACGTTTTGCAGTTTGATAATTTTTCTTATATCTCCAGTTCTTACGAACGCTTGCAGTTCGTTCTAGGCTTAAAATATTCAGTAATGTCAGGACTTTCATTTGAGCTCTTGAGCACTAAAATCAGACGAAGAGTTAAAGACCAGTTACGAACCTCAGAACAATATTAATTTATCTTTTTAGGAATATATTTTTATTAAAAGATTTATAACTCGGGTTGTTAATACTTCACCAAGTTCTTTCTGGTCTCAAATTACTCAGTAAATGTTTCGCTTTGATTTCATTAATCATTAACCAAAATATGACAATTTTAAAATGAGTCATGAACCTTAATATAACATTAAAATGTATTTATTTCGAAATTTGTCTTTAGTTAAAGACGTACATCCCTAATTCTAAATAACTCCCAAAACTCTTATAGTCTTAAATAATTCGCCAATTTATTGACTTTAATTCTAGCTAAAGATTACTTATTGGTAGTTATTTTTAATTGGGGATATATGTCTTAAACAAAAGACAAGTTTCAAAATAAAAATAATTTAATGTTAAATGAAGGTCCACGACTCACTTTAGATTTGTCAGATTTAATTTAGTGATTAATAAAATTGAAGCCAAACCTTTGCTAAGTAATTAAAGACCAAAAATAACTTGGTGACGCCTTAAAAACTAGAGATATAAATCTTTTAGTAAAAACTAATTCCTAAAAATTGAATTTAATATTGCGTTGGGATTTGTATTGTAGCTAGTCTTTAACTCGTCTGATTTTAATACTCAAGAGCTCAAATTAAAGTCCTGACATTACTGAATATTTTAAGCCTGGAACGAACTGCAAGTGTTAGTAAGAACTGGAGATATAAGAAAAATAATTTAAAAAAAATATCAAACTACAAAACGTCCATAAGAAATGTATGGGGGAGAGTTTTCGTTTGAGTATATCTTCTAAACGAAAAAAAGATATTAAAAAACTGATTTCGGCATTGAAATCAGTGTAAAAATGTAGTTTGTAATGATATGTCACAGCACTATCATTACTTTGAAAAAAATTATCTATGTCCAATATGGCGGCCAAAAAACGTGTTCCCTATCAAAATGAAGTACTAACCACCTAATTAATACAGGTGGTGGTCCCAAGTCAATATCTCGAAAAATGTGCATAACAAATGCATGTGAAATATATATTTTTTTTAATCTGTCCAATGTTAGGAAAAGCCGCCATTTTAAATTGCGATTTTAGTTGTTTTCTCGTGCACCGATTTTTGGCAACTTTTAGTATGTCATTCTGCAAACCCAACACTACAAAATAAAACCATAAAACGTTTTCTTGCAATTTTTTTTAACGATCCCTGTATAAGTTTTGTTAGTTTGCTTGGACTAGAAGGTTCTTAGGTTAAAACATATAGGATGACGTAGTTAGAATTGAGTAAACATTTCTAAAATAATATTCCATATCCGAGAAATAATCAAATTTATGTTTTTTAATTGAGTAATACAATATCTTGAACATAACTGATTCAAACTATCAATATCTCAAATGAAATCCTTTATTTCTAGGAGTATTTAAAGACCAAGACATGTAAAATAACTTAAATAAAAATTACAAGTTACGTATCATTGATTTACTTTTGTATCATTGAAAACTGCTATTTCACCGAAGGTTCTTAGATCTAAACATAATGTAATTAGAACTGCTGAAATACAAATTATAATAAAAATTCGAAAAAATAAAATTTATGTTTTTTGGGCGAGTTATACAGTAGATAAATGAATGATGATGCTTGATGGCAAATCTGTGCTTGCTTTTTTTTTAGACCAAAATTACGTAAAATCGGTCGGGTAGAAGAGCAAAACGAACTCGGAAAAGTAAAATCAAATTTAACTCCGATAAGAAATGTACATGGAGGAAGTTTTGTGCATAGCTCTAAATATACGTCAGATAAATGAATGCCGATGCTTGATGGCAAATCTGTGCGTCTATACCTTTAATTTAAGACCAACATTGAAGAGTCCAATGTTGGAATGAAAAAACGGGCTAACCCTAAAAAAATTCAAAATTTTTTTATGAACGGTTTTGAATACATTTTTAAAATCTAAACACTTTGCCAATTTTAAAATTGACAAAAACTGGCTCTTTATACTAGTAAATTACTTTTGAAAAAAGGCAATCAGGGGAAGAACGGGACAACCCACAATGAGCGTAGGCAAGAACGGGACAACCTCCGTTCAAATTTTAAACCAATGGGCTGGCAATTAGTTCCTGAAAAACCTTCTTTTGGCTCTCATGAAAAACTTACTTTCGCGGGGTTAGCCCGTTTTTCCCTTGGGCTCTTTTGCTGATGAAAATTGGTTGGATAGAAGAGCCAAACCGACTCGGAAAATAAAACCCAATACTTTTTATATAGATTTTTGTATATACAAAATGGGGACTGTAGGGTAACATTAGAGTTTTCAAAATTGTTTACGTGATAATCTAGTTTGTCTATGGTCCAGAGTGATACCTTAAAAGATCGGTAGAGAGTTAAGGAACACTCTGTATAAAGCTTCTAACTTCTCTAGAATCGACCTTGTAGCCTTCTAATTGCTAGGCGAGCTCTACAACCCTCAGTTAAATTCCGCAAGGTTTAATTTAGATGTGTAGAAAAGGTAGAATGTATAGGAAGATGACTACGTGGTCAGGCCGAAGATCATAAAGGTGATGGGTATTTAATTGAACAGTATTTCTGCAGTAGCAACATTTTGATACTTATTTGCTCTTTCGCTGAACTATTAAGATTAAATATATCTCTTAAAAACCACAGATTGACTATTAAACTTGATACTTTGTTTCTCTAGGTTAAAGAGGTTAACTATGGCGATATAGAGGTCGGCGAGTTTTAATGATACTCAAAAATAACGGAACCTCTCCTAGTTTGTCTTAATGGCCCGCATAGATGGCTATTCTGATATTCTGATCACTGGGTTGCACCAAAATACAAACAATCAAGCACATGTCTATATTTTTACGGAGAAATGCAGGTTGACGTTTATTAGGATTTTGATATTGTAACAGTATTTTGTATGTTTAATATACAGACTGTCCCAAAAGTCATGGAACGGTTTAAAAAATATTTAAAATAGAGCTACAAAACTTTGCACAAAGTTTCTGGACATAAAAATCTATTTTATCACATATTCAGTGATCCACACTTCCTCAGGGGGACGGCCCGCCAGAAGTTTGAAGAAAATCAAAACCGTATGCAGAGGTCGATATGCAGATAAAGTTAAAGGGCTTTATTAGTAGAATACAATGCCGCAAATTTTATCTCAAAATAACAACTGAGTAAAAAATGGCAGTCGTTCAAAGATTCAAAATGGTAGATTCAAGAAATCTTTGAATGGCTGCCATTTTTGACTCGGTAGTCCGTTTGTGTTCAAATTTGTGGCATTGTATTCTAATAATAAAGACATTTTATTTGATATGCATATCAACCTATGCTTGCATTTAAGATTTTCTTCTGTCCCCTAGTGGGCCGCCCCCCCCCCCTAAGGAAGTAGTGGATCACTGAATATGTGATAAAATCAAAATCAAATCAAATCATTTTATTGGGCCAAATTAACAATGATACAGTTTGCATTAGCCAGGTCAATAAAAATATACTATATTATACATCAATTACTAATTCTAATATTTACAATAATAATTACAAATTAGAGCTTTCAAAACATTTCAGGAATTCTTGGACGCTATAACAGGTTATACTTAGCAATTTATGTTTTAACTGTTTTTTGAATTTTGAAAGGCTTGGTTCAAACTTAAGGGATAATGGAAGTGAGTTAAACAGCTGTATGCCAATGTACAATGAGTGTTTTTTGAAAAAATAAGTTTTGTGTTTAGGAATTGGCAAGTTAAACGAATTGCGCAATGTGTATTGATTTTTAGTAGAGAAGTCAAATTCAGGAAAGTTTTGTTTCAAAAAGGTCAAATAAGTTTCTATAGATTTTTATGTGCAGAAACTTTGAGCAAAGTTTTATAGCTCTATTTGAAATATTTTGACATATAAATAAAATACCCCCGCCGCAGCAAACCTGGCGTCTAAGCGAATTTCCATTTGCCTGAATTGATTTTCAATTAAATCTATTTAAACAACATTAGGTTTATTTATTTATTTACGGTTACACCATTTTTACAGGGTTACATGATGACATTATGATACAATATTGAAAGATTGAGAATATAGATGAACGAAAAGTGATACATGAATGCGAGTGAAATGTGAACGGATAACATAATTTGCTTACCTTCTGCCTTTTCTCATGCTTTTTTACTTTTTTTGTTATTTTGCGTTATTTATTGAAAGGCAGATAAGGGACTAACATCACATGCTAATAGAAAAGACTTGGTTGAATATCAAACTTAACAATAGTTAGAAATTAAGTACCTAACAACAACAATCAATAAAATACTACAGAAAAACATGCGACTAGATAAAAAAATACATAAGGTTTAATGAGTACCTAAGTTTGCTGCTACAGGGAAACTAATAAAGTGTGTTTTTTAGTAAAATATTAATAGCTTAGTATAAAGTAAATAAATTTGTCAAGTTTGGTCAAAATATATCCATAAACAAGCAAACTACAACATTTTACAATATTCTCCATAAGAATAACATGGGAATTTTAAAATTACATTTTTTTTAATTTTCTTCGTAACTAACTGTACAAAATCACTTTGATGTAAAACCCCGTTCCAATGGTCCGATCATGCTGGTTCACGAACTCATCCTAGTTAACCCGCCTTCCACCTTCAAACCAAATTTAATTAAAATCGGACAAAAATTACTCAAAAGCTATCGCGTTCATGGACACATATATAACTATATATGTATATATCTAAATTTGAACTAATGGTGTTTTTGTTCACTAGGAACATAAAAATGAAAAAGTAAATCGGTCCCGGGCCTAGGTCTCACCATGCCACCTATGGTAATAGCTACTTCCCTATAGGGAAATTCGCTAAAATAGCCTTGAGAAAAGTACGGAAGTGGCTGTGAGGCAGAGTAACTATAGGACTTACTGCTAACCTGACATCAAAAGGTCACCCTGACCAAACTAATTGATTGATTGATTGATATCACCGATTGATTTGGTGATCCTGAGAAAAGTCAGCCTCTGTTGATGGCCTAAAACTTGTAATAAATGTTTCTGACTAATGAATCAGCTGATTTTACTGTAACTATTATAAGATGGGGACGGAACTGGGTGCATTTTTAACCACATTTCAATGAGTGTATAATTGAGTCTAATGCTTTGTAACTGACTAATATCAGCTGTTTCTTAGCCTTAAAATTGAAACGTATAATCTAACTCTATTAAAAAAAAACTTCTTGCATTTACATTCGAATAAAAACACGGGTGGCGTTGCTGTTAAAAATGATGATAACGAACAGCAATCATCTAGTTTTAACGGAGCACAGTTGTCTGGTTTAAACTGCATTTAAACAACAACTATACCCACTCAGATCTAGCCAATGTAAACATCCGCATACTGAATTGCACTCAGGGTTAAGTGTGTGAGTACCGGAGAGCAGTTGTCAGCCGGACAGAGCCGGAGCAGGGAAAGTCGGAAACCCAGAAGTGTAGGGAGGAATGGTGGAATGGAGAAATGGAAGGCAGTAGGTCGTGGGTCATACTCGAGCGGCCGGCCATAGCAGAGCCTCGTAGAAAGGCCTTCAATTGCTCTTTTATCGTATCACTCTACATAATTGTGAGTCGGACATAGCTAAAACAATAGAGCAGATCAGTGACTCGACTAACTAGGCGGTGAAACTCCCGCCGAAATTGACAATGGCGGGAGATGAGAATGGCTGGTTAGAACAATGGTTGAAGAGTCGTAATGGGGATGCGGACATTGGCAGTGGCGGGTACTGATAGTCGATGTCATAATCGGGTGGTATGTCCAATGGGACAGTAAAGACGAGACGATTCCTCCGTCGGTGGATGTCCCTAGTTCCCTATCAAGAAGGGTGTTCATCTCGGCGTTTTGGCCAGAGCCACCCGCTAGCGATAAGGTGCCCGCCACCTCAACTTTTTTTGGTGGTTCTTTGCCGGGGTGGCACCTTGATGCGTCCCAACTAAGGAAGGTTTCCGATGTATTGAGTACCCCAAGAGGTCCGGGAAAAGCAATCCTCCCCGAACAACGTCAAGATGAAACATTTTAAAATGTATTCCAAAATGTTTAGGATCCAGCACTATCTTTTTGTTTACCATAATATTAGTTTGTCTGTACAATATTAAGCTTTTAAACTTTTCATATGGTCAAATTGTGCATGTGCCACGGCTTATTTCATCTATTAAAACTATTATGACACAAACCAAAATTTTACTTGGCTCATATATATTGCAAAAACCTTAAAAAGCTTGATGGTTCGTTCCATTTTTATCACGGGTAATGCTCCGTATCGACCCCTCCAATATCCAACACGACCATTTTTTGCGGGTTGATTACACGCAACAGACTCACTCACTAATAATAGCTCCAAGATAGAGCCGGCTTGGAATTAAACCAGTTACCTTTAGATTTGAAGGTGATCACACTCAAACACTCGGCTGTCAAGACTGTGATTGACATTCGTGTAGCATAATACTTCATTAACTCCTGGATTGATTTAATTTGTGTCCATTGCTGTTTTGGAAAAGACTTTCGTCAAGACACTATAAATATTATTGTTCACGAGCCTCCTGCTCAAATCTGTATTGAAACGTTACTAGAAACTTGTCGAAGGTGTCAACAAAGCAACGTGCCACCGAACAACAGGGAAAGTATTGGAACTGCCAGAGAAAGCTAATCAATTGATTTTACTTCGCTTTTTGTATTCAAGAGTGTGTGTCGTGTTTAAGTTTCTATTCTACTGTATTGAAAGACAGTGAAACAGACATACCAACAAATGTTACTGACGTCACATGAGCGCCTAAGAAACCCAAAACCAAAGATCGTGTTCAGCACATTAGAACTTAGCACAAATACGAGTCATTTAGACCTCTTCAATTGAACTATCCAGAGTTGTCCGGGGGGTACTACCAAATGATTTGCTCGAGCTCGACTAACCTCAAAAGGTTTCACTGGCATAATCAGAGTAAGTTATAGATTCCAGAAAGCATCCGACCAGGTCTAGGTAATAGAATGGAACTATATTTTAGCCTCGAGGTAACTTTCCAATGGGTGCGTACCCCAATGCGTCATGGGCCGGATATTGAGATCATCTCATCAGGTCGAAGACCCCACCCTTAGCTTAACAATAAACGTATTGAACATGTTCAGGGATTTAAAAGATGTACTGATTTAAATTATGCAGTTTAATGAAATTAGTTGAACCAATTTTCTGAAATAAAGGGCGAGACAATGAAAACGTTCTAATTTATAAATTGTAAGAATTCATCATATACCCTCAACTAAATAAAAATAATACATATAACAACTATATATGAACAGCAACAATGAAACAATTATACATAAAAACGTTAGCACATAAAAACAGAGCTTATCTTATGACATTTTAACTTGATGCAGCCATTTTTTCACTACTTGAAATCAACGTTCAATTGACGTTCTTGTCCTACTTTACATTCATTTTAGTCACTTAAAAATTCCATCGAATACTCCTTCAAGCATTACTTCAAAAATAGCTTTAATTTCCCGAACAATTCTTAGCTTCAGTTCAAGCAAATCTCAGGGGTGACTTTGAAAAAAACCTTGAACTTTTAGTAGCTTATAAGGAGAACCCCCCCCCCCCCCACAAAGAATGAAAAGAGCCAACGTAAAGCTTTTTTCAACGGAAGCTTCTGGCAAACCTTGAACTTCAAGTTACTATAACTCACACTCTTTCGACATTATTGCTGGTATACGAAGAGTGTTGTGGCTTACACCAATAATTTTTAGGGGTTAAGCTGTCCTCTTAAATAATTCTACCCATTTCCGATCTTGAACAGCGCCATGTTGACCAAGGAAGGAATGTGGTCCAAACAATGTCTGGATGTTTGCACAAGAATCACTGTTTTAAAATAGGTTTCTACAGCAAAATCATAGTGTTAATAGCCCCATAGCACTATGTTTACTGAAATGGCATAGTTTAATTGATGTTATAAGCACATGTGTTCATTCATTGTTGCGTTACTTATCATGTTACAGCGAAACAAATTTGGGGTGTTCTCATTGCCTCACCCAGTATAATATACATACCTTGTTGCTGTCCCAATGGGTTAATACAAATTAATATCTGAAAAAAGATACACGTCTAATAACACTTGTAATATTATATTTACACACTGTAGACTCACAAGACGGTAAATAAGATGGTAAGTGGTGGTCGAATTCTATACGAATTCGAAGATATACGTCTAATAACACTTGTAATAATTTATTTACACTTATACTGTTGACTCAAAATACGGTAAATACATATGAAAGGTGGTCGATTTCGATTGGACACTCCAATCATCATCAGACCCAACAGGCGAATGTTGTACCTCCCTATGTTAGATGGGAGGTATTGTCGGAGGTATTTGTTAGGTTCTCATTCGCCTATTGGTTCTGATGATGATTAGAGTCATCATCAGAACCAATAGGCGAATGAGAACCTAACAAATACGGAAATACCTCCGACAATACCTCCCATCTAATATAGGGAGGTACAACATTCACCTGTTAGGTCTGATGATGATTGGAGTGTCCAATCGAAATCGACCACCACTTACCACCTTTCATATGTATTTACCGTATTTTGAGCCAATAGTATAAGTGTAAATAAATTATTACAAGTGTTATTAGACGTATATCTTTTTTCAGGTAATTTAATAACACGTATAATGTTGATCAAGAAGTTACAAATTAAAACACACACGATGGATGCCATTTAAAATATTCACTAGCATCAGTGAGTCATGAGCCAGTAGCTTGGTTTCGCGTCCTGGCATGATATCTGACGTATATATATAATATTGGGTTTATTGAAGGGGCAAATGAAAGATTAAAAGATGCCACCCCAACATCATCTTTAGTAAAAAGATTTTTGGAAAGCTTAGAGATCTAACGACGTTCCAATTGATGTGAAGATTTTCACATTTTATTTTTTGTTTATCTATGACCTTGGTATTTTCTCGTTTTAGCAGGGGGATGATTCAACCCCTTGACTTACTATCTAACATCCATCTTTAGTTAGTTAGCATCATTAATTGATAGCATAATGACAATACGCATTAAGTGGGTCCAGAACCGCTTGAAATCTAACCAACGACCTTGAGATGTAAAAGGCTTGATTAATGAACCAGACAGTTAAACATGAATAATCAGGTTAGGTCAAAAGGCTATAACACCATCGCCTCTTGTTCGCCATTGAGCTAAGAACCAGGACAAAATCCGATACGTTTACACAATACCACAATGTCTGGAGGAAATTGGAAAAACCGAATGCCATGGTGAAAGTAAGCGGAGTTGTCTCCAGTCTTAGCTTTCCCGGTCGAGCTCACTCTCCCGATCGACTTCTCTGGACCTCGTCTTCTTGTCATTCCCGTCATCCTGTCTCCTGGACTCCAGGGCGTGCGGTCTGGTCTAGAGAAAGAAGAAAACTTTTCTCCTGCCACATTGGATGAAAATCTAGCCAGTTTCCGATGTTGATAGTGTTATGACAAATCCAGTAATCTGGACACAAAGTCGTTCCCCTTTCAAAAATTATTACTTGAAATTATTGGGCTCAGTTAGTGTAAAATACCGACGGAATGTTTCATACATTCAAGTGGGTGACATTGAAAAAGATGTCGGAAACAATACACATTTAGTAATTTAGAAGTACGACGATATTTGTATGCTATGTATTTCATCGTCAGATATATTAACAATTATTTATTTTGTAAGCAAACTGACCAAACTTGGTATTGTTTTCATCCTATGTCAACCTGTCACTAAAAAGCAGAATTGAGTTTTAGTTGAGTGACAATCAGCAGCTTGGTCCATAGTCGAACAATTTTAGAGTCTATACAGTACCGGTAACCGTAAAACACGAATACTTGCCATCAAACAACCCAAATTTAAATGTTAGCTTAAGTTCTCCAGCGTTTACAAACCCTGTCTCAGTCACCTATTGCGTCGTCTGCCACAGATCCCACAAAAATATGGCGCAAAAGCCATCTATCCTATTAAATTCATTATTGTGTTTGAAAAATACATATTATGAGTTGAACTAGCAACAAGTTCGAATGTTATGCGTTAACTATAAAAGATCTGGTTCTTAACTAGTGGAAATATCGAATACTCTACTTGTGATACCTAAACCATCTTTGTTTGTTTGGAACAGTTACTCAAAACATGCAGCGTGAAGTAGCTGTCCGGTGATACTGTAGCTAACTGTCTGGTACAGTTAACAATTAACACGTTTGTGGATCTTCACGCCGATCAGTCTCGTCCACGAGACATGAGACTCGTGCGGTACAGGAAAATAATCCTAGGAAGCACAGAGTATAAAGTATCTAGTGGTCACTGGTCAATAATATCAACAAACACACAGGGTATGAAATTTCTAATAGATGCAGATCATGGTATGTTTAGTTGGGCGCTTAATGTTTTTTGACAAGCTCAGAGAATGAAAAAATTAGAGTTTGCTCAACAATACTGACAAAGAGTACGAAATACCCAGTGATCAACAATCTTGAGAAGCACAGAGTATGAAATACCTAATAGTTGCAGATCATAGTATATCTAGTGGTTGATTGAGATTTTTGACATACTCAGAGAGTGAAAAATTTATGAGGTAGTTTAATAATATTGACAATCAAAGAATATGAAATACCTTGGACTTTTATACACGCCGTTTTGTCACTCATGCACATTTTGATCTCTTTGCTTTAACTGATTGAGCATACCATGTCTTATGGTGTTCGCCTTCAAATCTAAAGTCTGATAATGATGCTGAAAATGATGGATTATGTACCCAGATTAAATTTTAACATTTGTTACTAATGGAGCATTCAAAAATTTGACGTAAGATATTAACAAGACCACGAACAAAAAGTGTAAAAGTGGCCTACCATTGGCTTCAAGATCAAAAAGTTAAAACCGTCTGTATTTTATTTTCACCAGTCCGTAGAGCCTAGAGTATTACTCCCTTGTGTTTAATGATTTTCTTAAAAAACTAATGACATACATGTCTTATCCTGACCACCTTTAAAACTCAAAGAGTTGAGACAGTTAAACAAATATACTATAGACAGTAAAAAAAAATTTAATTTGAACAAATTTTAGACGGAGATAAGTTGAAGGTCGTAATTTCAAGCGACAGTATCCCTACAGACGCACTAATGGATGCTTTTGGACTATCTAGCAGATAGGCACATTCCTTACCCTATCTGGATGCTGTCTCGATGGATGGGAAAGACTTCCAATCCATATATCAGTCTTATGCGCGACCTAGGGCATTGTTTGATAATTTTACCCTTGCAAACCTCAACACATAATCATAAAAAAATACCAAATTTAATATGAGAAATCTTTGTTCAAAAAAAGTTGGACACCGGATTTTTCGAATCAAGGATAGACATGTTGTAAAGAAAACGTATAACTTGTAAGCGTGTATTACAAAGTGTGCATTTAATTATAATTTCAGTATAACAAATCGTCAAATATGAACCACATTATACATATACAGTTGGTGTTTTTATTGGTTTTGTGGTATTTGGGTTTTTATAAACTATGAATTTATGTTAGGACAGTCTCAACAAAATAGAAAAAAAGATTAACTCAGACTTAGAAGGAAAAAGCGTGGTTTAACGTAAATTTACGTTCTAAAGCTTTATGTTTACAAAAATAAAACTATTTTTTTACATGATCTACTTTTATTTTGTTCCCTTTTTGGAACTTTCGTGAATGGTGCATTTGATTCCCCAATTTTTCTTGAGTGCAATAATCGAGAATTAGGACATGCGAGAAATACCTACGCATTCAAGTAGACGAGTAACCTAGTCAAGTAGTCATGTAGACAATACAACCGGCCGCTGGACTAGCGGAAGACGACTTGTTTCATTTATCATGTGAGCACTTTCTGCGGAAGACTTACTGTCTTTCCTGTCCTGGTTTCCGCAGAACAAACGCAATTACAACGCTAATTAGCATGAGTAATTTGCCAGCCCGGTGACCATGTTGACATGGATAGCCGTCGAGAAAGCCGGCCGGCTACACACTACACGGCCATAGAGGATAGCGCGGGAACAGGCTAAGTGGACAACAGCATCCTGCACAGTGGTCATGTTAGGTCCATTTAATTTTTAAAAGCCAAGTGTATAGCTACATCCGGGGATTAGCAAAGCCCAATGAAAACAAATAAATTGCTATTAGGGATGGCCAGCTTCGTACACGCTGGTCCATTTAAATTTTAAAGACCAAGTGTATAGCTACGTTCAAGGATGGCAAAGCCCACTGAAACCAAATAATTTGCTGTTAGAGCGAGCTGGTCTATATAGTGGTAGAGCTCGGGACTTCGGTGCCCAATGTCCCGGGTTCAAATCCCGCCAATCACCAATGAATTTTAGGTACCTATGTGATAATGCTGCAACCCAAATCAAAACTAAAGATGAACAGCTTCCTGCACGATGTCAAGTTGGGTCCGTTTAAATTTTAAAGACCAATTGTATTACATTCTGGAATTAGCTAAGCCCAAATAAATTGATATTAGAGATGAGTTGGCCTTACTACTATTTTGGAATATACCTACCAATTAAAATACATCGTTATGATTTTAAGAGAATATATATTTCAAAGATGTAAGTTGAACATTTTACGTCTGGGTGGTCTGGGGTGGTTAAAGTGCTCGCCTTCAAATCTCGTAACTACTGGTTCGATCACGCGGGGTCAATTCTGGGTTTGGGCTATTAATTAATTATGTTATCTATCAAAAGGTCAAATTTAAATGCTAATAAGATTAAGGTTTGGACCCTTCTATTACGTAAAAACCTAAAAATCACGAAAGGCTTAGAAAAGCACAGATAACACCGGTGTCATCATTGGTATCTCAAAACAATGAAAATTTATATAAATCTTTATATCCAATTTTTATGATTGTTGTCTTAAGCATGTTAATGCCATTTTCGTCCTTAGATTTTTCTCATTTTTTAAAAAATGTTCTCAAAATAAAGCCGATCTAAATCTCCCCACTCTCAGCTAATACCTCATAAATTGTTAACTTGAAGTGATTTCCGAACATGAAATACGTCTCAAAGTTGCATTTAAAATTTAAATCAGTCATAGAGATAGAGGTTTTGGTAAGAATGTTTTACGTTAAAATAAAATAGCTATTTTTGATTTTCATTCAAAATGAGTTAATTTCCAAATTCAAGATTTATTTTCTGAATTTCCCTGAGAATACAAATGGTGTAAGTCGTCCACCCTGTATAGCCAGTTCTTCTCGTTATTTACACATCTACACGTAGCAAGACTACACCTTTAAAAACTTATCGTGTGCGGGACCAAATATTCTTTCAAGATATAATACGAGGGATGGTAACGCCAAACATCTACGTTCAAAAAAACATAACACAACTCTGTGATTCAGCTTAGAGAATGACAAAATAACCGAAAAATCGTACAAATTTGAAATAATAGGTTTCAATCCAGTTAGGCTCTCTAAGATAAACAGGGCGCAATTTCGCTAGAAGGAACATTTCACGACCACATTATTGCAAAACTCATGTCAATGATCTAAGTTTTGTAGACAACCATAGAGATCGTGTTTACATTGTTGTCATGTGAACCAAGCCAGAGAAAATAACAAGCACGACAGGTCAAACAATAAGTCTCATGGGAGAAAGTAATATGAATTTGCCGTCCGACGATTGACCCCGTACAGGACAAGAGGAGAAACTCGAACAAATAGAGTAAGGACCAACTTAGAGTGGCATAAACGAAAAGACTAGAATGACTAAAACAATGAAAAAATTTATATCCAAGAATGTTGAAAGAATTTATTTTTTGTATTATTTTATCCGTGCCAAAATCGACGTGTTGTTGATAAGGTGGTAGTTCAATTGCGACAATTTGACCTGCACTGATCCGAGGCTCTTAGGGAGGGTCATAAACAGTTTGATCGTGATAAGATCAATAAATATCTGGAAATTGTAAATAATTTGTAGCGTACAAAAATAAACTGTATCAGCAATCTGACACATGCTTTCTCCCGTAAGCTTGTCAACAACCTTATCATGGGTAAACGGTGGGAGTAACTATGATACTTTATAGGGAAAATCACAAAAGTGCAATAACTTTTGAACTGTAATTGTTACAGCAATGAGGGTTGCACTATTTTGTTTAGAATTATAAGGACCATAACACATTAATTTTAATCGAAACCTGCTTTTTTCCTAAAATCTGATTTTGTTATTTTATGGGGTTTTATAGAAAAATAACATAAGTTACAATAACCCTTGAATAACCTTTGAACCTTAATTTTTACGGAAATAGGATTTGTACAATTTTGTTCAGAATTTAATGGCCTATAACATACTCTTTGAGCGTTTTTGTAGAATATTAATTTCAAAGTTTTTATGCTCGAAAATAATTATTAATGTAGTATACAGTTTTTTTATACACATA